CCCTGCTTGTCGGCGAGTCGAAACATTTCAATACCCCCCAGCTTACAGGAACCATAGCAAATGACTTTTGCAGTATTCGATCGATACCCCATCTTCTGAAGTGCAGCTCGGCGTGGAGCCGATTCAATTGTATCAAGATCGACATCCTTGAAGAAAGTTGTCTCCAAGCAGTAACCCACACTCGAAAGAAAGATGCTGCGATAGAACATGTTGGCTTCTCGTCGATTCAGGGGAGACCCTTTCAGAACCCTAGTATAATGGGTGCATTTCTTGATCAGAGCTGCTTTCTGTGCTGTGAGATTTCCAGCCGGGCCTTTGAAACATCCCAGTGACTTGTGATCTTTGTAGTTGTCGACTGGTTTGATCGGCGTGACTATCCCATCAGTGGATGTCACCTTGATTGATGATGTAAAGTCAGTCCCCGAGATGAGCTTTGGTTCGCCACTGGGTCTGAACTCATATCGGAGATGATGAAAGGAACACTTCGAAGCCTCCAGCTTGCCACCCGACGACCACAAAAGATCATTCCACCATTGAGCGTCTTTTGTTGCCTTGTCCACCAGTACCTGCACTGAGGGAATAGTGTTGGTAAGAAAGCAATTCGTTCTAGAATTCGTATCATCAACAAACCCTGTCATGAATAGCTTGACCCGCTTTGATCCGTCTGGGCTGGCAAAGGTGGCGCCAGTCGCATAGGGCTCGAAACAATCAAATAGTGCATAAGGCTGGGGAGTTACCAGCTCCTTGTCCAGACCCGTGCCAGGGATCCTCCTCGGTATGACCGAGAAACGTGACTGACGTTCCCAGAGTGGTCTTGATATGGTACTGGGCCTGTTCCAGATTCATTCCATTCACTTTACAGACACGTACCGGCATTCCCATCTTCCGGCTTGCAAGACTGGCAATGTACATTAGAATCCTGTCATAGCACGCTGCTGCGTCATTGTCATTCTTGATTAGGGGGTGCAAGCAACAGCGTGATACTTCGTACTCTAGTTCCTCCATATAACAGAGATCAATTGCTGACCTCCCTGGGACGGAACCGAATTGCCTGGTGTTGATCAGCCCTTGGTTGGAGGCATGATGGAGGAGTTCACGCCACTTCACTCCTAGAAGCAGGTTATAGTCGGCTTCAAAGATATGGATGACTCGCAGACGATGGATTTTGCAACCACCCTCATCCTTGGGGATGAGGGTATTGACAATTTTGTTCCATCTAGAGTAGGCAAAGCCCTGTTCTAGAGCAAAGTTGAGGAGCCTAAAGTGGGCCTGCTTGATCTTTGTTTGAAACTCTGCCAATTCCTTTCCTTCATCAGACTTCGGGTCGAGACTGTGTTCCGCAAAACGTGATTTCCAATGACCGAGGTGTTGTCCAGAGGGAGAGGTGGTAGTGCGTTCATTCCAGCTCTTGAGTTTCCCATCGAACTGTTCCTCTGTCAATGTTGGTGGAATCTCACCATCGCAAGCCCGAGCCAGGTGCCTGAGGAGGACTGCTGTAGCAAATGACATTTCGAATGGGCAAATGTCGTATTCTCCATCGAGGATTGCATCGGCGGTAGCAGTACTGGCGGAGAAGTCTGTATCGGTCCGCAATGTGGAGTCGGATCGGAATTCTGTCTCCTCAGCCTGCCGGAAATGCTTTTTGAGGTGAGCCTGGAGATGGCGTTCAATTTCCTCGGGATCCTCAACATACATCCAGTCTTGACACTGTTTTGGCGGCGCGGTGGGGTCTCGGGGGACTTCCAAGGCTGTCAGTCCCGCACCATGACATTTACCCCGTGTATGTGCACACTTTTGCCATGCTCTCCGAGTGGCTTCAGCGTTGCGCAAGCGCTTCATCACATTAGCCAACCTTGTGTCTCCTTCAGACTCGCATTGTGCTTGGAGTTCCATTTGGTACTCTTGGCGCAACTTGTGTGTTCTCCACTCATCCACCTCCGCTGCATGAAGTTCCCTGCGGGCCTGCTTCTTTCATTTCTTGCAGTCCTCCAATGAAGTTGGTAGTTCAAAGGATGGATCGGAGATCCGCTCCATGCGGAGACGAATCTGATTGGTAATGTCGTTCTTACATTGGAGTGCATGCAGGGCCATCGTCAAGACTTGGAACTTCAAGCGTAACTGGGTCAATGCTGGGGAACTGGGAATGGGCGAATAGGTCGGGCACTTTTTGGCTGCGTGGAGGCTTGCAGAGAGTAGGAGTTGGTCCAAGGCCTCGGCCTCTTGCTGGGTGGGTGCCTGGTTGAATCTCCACAGTCGTTGAAAGAATCCATGATTGTCAAGATAGCTGTACTTGGATTTGATGTAGGTGGTGACTTGGTGGCGTTTCTTGGAATGCACCCTTCATTGACAGGGCTTGGGTAAAGCTGCGGTATCAGACCCGAACAGTTGTTTCAAGTCGAAGTCAACAAAGCAGGCACGGTGGTCACTATAGAAGTGGTCACAGAACGGATGGTAGCCACAAGCGTCGACAGCATCCAAAAGGTTTTCAGAAACGATGATGTAATTTTGCTGATAGCAGCTAAGGTCTTGCTGCTACTAGAGCTTTTCTTGCTCGACGTGCTTGACTTGCTACGCTTGCTCGACTTCGACTTGTCGTCGTCGTCTTTATCTTTATCTTTATTTTTGTCAGGACAGTACGTGGCTGGATGTCCTTTCTCGTGGCAGGTAAAGCATTCTTTATCTTTCCAGAATTCTTTGTCATAGCCTGCGTTTCCGCGGCCTTTTCCTCTGCCACCACCCCGTCCTCTCCCGCCTTGTGCTGTCTGAGCAAAGGAGCTTCCGTGGGAAGTGGACTGTCGTGGAGTGTTACTCTTGGTGTGTTTGTCCAAGAGATGTAATACGTCATGTAACGTATGGGGATAGTTATCAGTGCCTTTGGCAAAGTCGTCCCTCAGGTTCTGTTTAAGCTTGGTATTTTTGGCTGAACTATTTGTTAAGAAGATGTAGCTATAGTACCATTCTTCAGCGTATGCCGAGACTTTCCTCTGGTCTGCGACTCCCAGGTCAGCGTATTCGGTGCCTGGGTGGAGTAGTTTAGCCGTATGCAGCAGGGCTGCGTCGTGTAGCTTGGAAATACCCACGGATTTTGCAATGTCCTTTTTCGTGGTAAATTGCTCGTGGTATTCGGAAGCGGTAAGGCTCCCTTGGTGGAAATTCAACAGTTGTTTTTCCAGTTGGAATAGTGTGTGGTACACAAAATTATCATCGGTCTGGGCCATGATCGTCTTATGGATCATTTTTCGTAGCTCCAGTGGGTCGCATCTTAACAGGACGTCATCGTAGTCCGTGTTCTGCTTCATCTTGTCCTTTAATAGTCGGGTGCACTGCCCTAGGATCAAGTTGAATGCTTTGCCTCTATTTTCTTGTAGTTGTTACTTGCTATTGAGATACTACTGAAAAAGTGGGTGGGCTCTGTATGTATTTCTACTGGCATGAAATTCTAGTACAGAGGTACAGGTTCAATCCCTTATCGCGAATCCCCAACACGGGCCACTCTGAATCTAGCTACCAGCGGAAGAGAAGAGTAACTGGGACCTGCTAACATCGATTCGAAGTAGCAGGTAGATCTGAAAACCAAGGAGAAGTCTTACAAAAGCGCTACAGAAGAAGGTATTACCTCGGCAGTCTATCTGCCTGAGCCCTCTACCCCTTTAATAGGCCTCTGCAGTGTCTGTGGGATCCCCCTCATTTCCTGTCTGTGGGATCCCCCTCCTTTTGTGTCTGTGGGATCCCCCTCGTTTTGGTGAAGCCAGGGTATAGGGTCAAGATTACATAGTTGATGCCACTTGCATGCCACTTGCCCCGCAGCCATTGATCCAACCACAACAGCCATCGGCAACAGCCATCGGCAACAGCCATCAATCTCGACACTTGCCGCTTGCCGCAGCGATCGATCGAACCAACAACCATGGATCGAACCAACAGCCATCGATCTCAGCAATAGCCTTTGATATCGACAATAGCCATCAACCGCATAGTAAGCTCCCTTCAACATGCACCAGCCAGCTACCTGTAGAGACAACACCCATCATCAAGGACCATTCATCACGACACGAACTGTGGTGACAAAGCAACCATGCCTGTCAAGTATGGAACACCTGCTTACAGCAGGAAGATTGAAGCCAATCGGCGATCCAGACACAAGCAACGGGCACAACAAACAGATGAGGAACGGCAGGCAGAGTTGAAAGTCAAAAGAGAATTCATGCAGAAGCATCGAGAACAACAATCTATTGAAGAAAAAGAGATTGCCAAAATAAAGGATCAAGAAAGGAAACAGATCAGATGCTCGATCAAAGGATTTTTTGATGCTGAGACACAAGATTTCAAAGAAAGAAAGCGCTGGATTGATCGAGCTTTGGAAATAAGCAAGCTAAAGCTTGAGCTGAAGATGGAGCGACATAAGCTGCAGAAGCTACGTGGTGTTGAAGACCTAGAAACCTCTGTAAATGGAGCATGGATGAAAGCTCAGCTTACAGACATCACAGAACAGGCAAAGAAAGAACATGCAATCTTAAGGCATGATTGGGACGAAAGGCAACAGAAACTCCATGCGAAGGATCCGGGTTTCTACGAAGCAGAGTGCAACATATTTCAACATACGTATGATAGAAAGAAGATTGTGCAAGAGAGGAAAGATAGTGCAACCCATCATGATCTACAACTTGAGCAGGTTAAAGAATCACTCGACAAAGTAATTTGTGCTCGCAAGGGTTTGTGGTGGCGGAAAAATATATTGCCAGGGCTTGTAGAGAAATACGGCTACAGTAAATGAAAATTTAATGCTTCTGTGTCATTGTCGATGTACTGTATTAGCCAGTGGTCTACCTACTGATCCTCCAGATTCTCCTCTTTGTACATGTATTGCAGCAATCTCAAATGTGATCCTCTTCTATCTGTCTTCTGAACCGTCCGACGGTTTTCGCTCCGGCTAAAACCTGCCACGACTGACTCGAAATGCTGGTTCTCGTTAAGAGGATGTAAGAGGATGTGAAGATTTAGGAGGATGTTTAAGAGGATGTTGAGTATTTAAGAGTATGTTGTTAAAAGGATGTTTATTTAAGAGGATGTTCATTCGTGATAAGAGGAAATCATATGGTGTTTCAATGAAGGCTTAAGAGGATGTTTCGAAGCTTTAAGAGGATTCTGTTAAGAGGATGTTTATTTAAGAGGATGTTTACGGGGATGTTGAAGATTTAAGAGGATGTTAAGAGGATGTTTAAGAGGATGTTGTCAGTCGTGGCAAATTCAATTTTTTTAAATCCATGTCGAAAACCGTCGGACGGTCCTGCCGAGGTATCGCAGCTCCCGCTGACTTAATTAGTCCTCTCTTTAGCTAGACACACAAAACCAAAAATGGAACCTGGCGGCTATAAATCGCTGCTTGCAGCAGCCAAATGGTTTCCACCACAGACGGCAAATGATCCGCCTCCAGCCACAGCATCAGATATCGATCGAAAAGCTAATCCATGTCAGGGCGCCTGAGTTCTTTGCCTCGTTTTGGCCTGGTTGCAGCCCGCTGAACTTGAACCGGTGGGTTGTCCGTTCCTGCTTCTCCGTCGCCAACCTCCGCAAGCGAATCATCTCCGGTTTCAGCAGATGGTGTTTCTTGTGATTCACCAGATAGCTCTCCCGCTGCATCTTCATCGCCGTCTCCATCGCTGGGCTTGCGTCGGAGTTCTTTTCCTCGTTTCCGTCGCTTCTTCGGTGGCGGATTGCCCGTGCTTTCCTCCTCCTCTTCCTCGGGATCGTCTTCAATTTCAGCCTCTTCTTCCTCCTCCTCGTCGTCGTCTCCTTCCTCGTTGTTGACTGCTTCATTGGCATCCTCGGCTTCACCATCAGATTCCGCTTTGCCTTCTTCACTGTTGCCTTCACCTTCAGCGATTCCATCGCTTTCCGAGCCAGCACCTTCTTCGTCGTCCTCTGACAGCCTCAAGGACGGAGAAATCAGATGCAAATAAGTGAAAAGGGCCGAGTTGTCCGAAATTCGAGGCGACAGGCCTTCGACAGACGCTGCAAAAGTGGCATAGGCCCGGGTGACCTTGGCACTGTCAACAGCCAACGGTAGTTTCGACCACAAGCCCTGTGACTTTGCCTTGATGTAGTTCTCGACAGATCTCGTAACGCCACCGTGACCTTCAAAAAATGAGAGTACCCGACAACAACGACGCCACAACACATTAGAACAACACCATTCAAAACGTCTTGCACACGCTACACGATCAACCAACAACTTACGTGACATCTGATACACTTTGACAATTTCACTCGTGAAAATCGTCGCCAACTGCTCATTGCGCCCAAAACACTCCAGTATGACCTCTTTGAAGAGTTCATCCGTCAAATACTTGATGCTGAATTCTGTCTTGAGTAGCTTCTTGACGCTCTCCACACAGTACCACAAGTTCATGCCATCCTCTGCACAAGCTTCCTGATGCTCCGTCATAAACTCGATCGTTGGGTGAGCAAACGACAAGGAACCGCGGGCACGGAACTGGAGCGGCACCATCCGGCATCGCAGACAAAAGAAGGACTGGCAGGGAGCTTCAAAGAAACCGTAGCTTGCCAGAATGGCATCTTCGGCGCTCTCTGACCCTCGCGTCACACGGCGACCAGAAGCACTGCCGGCACTGGAACGTCTCGAAGGCTTACTACTACTCGATGACGACGCAACTGGTGGTGGAGGGGCTTGCGGCAGCTTCCCTGGCAAGGGAACAGCCCGAAGCCGATTGTACAAGTTGGTGAAGAATTTTCGCTGCGCCCCAAACTGCAAGGCTTGAATCTGTTGCGAATGAAGCTTTCGCAGGTCCGCGAGCGCCTTTTTGACGTGTGGTTTGATGAATTGGCAGTTTTGCATGTGATTGTACAAGCTCGTGTTGAAGGCAGAAGCATAGTTATCCGGCGCCGTAGCGAAGGACCGACAAGATGGAGCAATTTCCGAAGGATCTTTGCCGTCGCAGTGCATGCAGCACATTCCCGCAATAGGGTTGGAAGGACCTCTCTTGCCTTTTGCCAAGTCCGCAGTGGTTGGGATGGCCGCCTTGAGCTGACGGACGGTAAGAAAAATGTAATCCGAAGCGATATCCCTGGAAAAAAGTGGCGGTCAGGACAAAGCGAAATGAAATGTGAGCGGCATGAATAATGGACGTGACGTAACAATCCACTTAATTTCCTCCTTTTTGCGTACGTACCTGTCGCTTGGCAGGAACAACCCATCATTGTCCTCGCCAGGCGTCCAATGATCCAAGTATTCGTCCAGAGTCCTCCTTGTCGCCGGATCGTTGGAAAGTGGAAAGTCACTGCATTCGCGTCCGACTTTTGTCCCCGGTTTCCCCTTGGATTTGGATTTCTTGCTACTACTAGAAGAAGGAGTGCGGGCACTTGTTGTTGTCGTCGTGGTTGCTCTGGGAGACGTCCGGACATGGTGGTGGTGTTCGGCTTGCTTCTGGGGTGGTGGCCACACAATATTTCGTTGCCCTCGTTGATAGGCGGCAATTTTGTCTCTCATTTGTTCTTCCGACACATCAAATTTGCGTTGTCGTTCCCAAATGACGGAAAAAGCTTTGCGTTGACTCCCATGTGGCATATCGGCCATTTGTCGTGGATGAATTCTCTTGTATGCCGCCAATGCTTTTCGTAGTTTGAGTGGTGCATGGTCGCACTTGGCCAAGTGAATGGCAAACGTATTGGCAATAGCACTGGCCAGCCCGTCCGAGTTGGACGAGAAGGAACGACAACTGTAATCCGAGACACCCCCGGGCAACGCCCTTGCCAGTTCTGGTCCATCGCGTTTGTCCAGAAATCTCTGGCAGTGGCCTGCAAACGAACAAAACAAAGAAAAGGCATTATTTTGGTAAGTACGCGTACAAGCTCATTTCAACAATTTTAATAAAAAGACAACGACAATAGAAAGCTTACGACAACAAAATCCTGCAAACCCCACTCTCATTTTCCTCGTCTTTTTCCCCCGGGTCGCAAAATCGGCCGGTGTCGCATGACAAACCGCGACTTGTCGAATGCACAAGAACATGTAATCGGATACCTGGAGCAGAGCAGAGCAGAGCAGAGCAGAAGAGGAGTGAGATCGATAGTGTCAATTGATGTCTTGCAGCTCATTCCCAAGCATAGAGTGTAAGGTACATGTAGATTTGTATATTGACATACCATTTTCTTGTCGGTGGCTCGTCCCAGATAGAGAGTTGGATTTTCCGGTTCGGCAAGTGCTTCTGCCAGCACCTGTTCGGCGGTCGCGTCACTGACTGTGACCGCCGATCCCACGAGCGTTGGCACGGGTTCCTCATTTTTTATTGCTGTGGATCTGGCAACCGAAGGTGGAAGTGTAATAATGGTCTTTAACTCTTCACTTTCTTGTCGTTGCGATGCCAATACCGCTTCAAAGGGGAGTGGTTGTAAACTGAGATCGCGTGAAAATCGAATCCCTCCTTCGACATCGACCAATCCATGTCGTTTGGCAGCCACAAGATAATAGAGAGCGGCAGGAACTTCCTTGGATTTGGCGCGTCCTTCTCCTCCACCTCGTGCTGTTTCATGAGTATGTCGATAGAATTGGGATCGGACCGATGCCGGCGTATTGGGACAATTTTCGAAATGCAATTGGGGTTTTTGAGAACAAATGGAATACATGCCGGCAATATTGTTGGGATACGAAACGGCGCCTTGTGGATACAACTTGGATTTTTCGACGGGTTGAATGGGATTGTCTTTATTGTGTGTTCCTCCATTCGCCAGAAAGGCTTCGTGTGCCAATGCGACCGACGCGCAATGAATGCAACGAATTCCGACTTTTCCTCGAACAATCGGTAGACGTCGTCCCGATTGCGATCCAGCCGCATCGACCGCCGTCGCACTAAAAATTTCCAAATGGTTTCGAATCAATTGCTGTAAGGACGACAAGTACTTTTCGTCGTCCGGAGACGCCAATGGCACTCGTCCTTCGTAATAGCCTTCGTCTGCGGGAGTGGTCGTTTGTGTGCGTTCTTGTATTGCATGGTGGTTCTGGTCGTCGTCTTCGTCATTGTCTTCGTCATTATCAGTTTGGTGAAGACCCAAATACTCGTCGACATCAATCACAATGGATTCGGGTTCTTCTTCTTCTTCCTCTTCGTCGTCTTCTTCATCTTCATCCAACGCATCTGGCGATATCAACGAGACAAAGGAAGGAAAACCACCCGCTTTTCGTAGCATGGATCGTAGCTTGCGCCGTCGCTTTCTCGTTCGGATCTGTTGGGCTTCATCCACTAAAGCATCCTTCTTTCCTGCTTCTTCTTCTTCTTCCACTACTTCCATGTTGTTGTTCATGATGTCTGCCATGATAATGATGTTACTATGAACTATCTATGATAATAGATTAGCTACCCACGATGGGTATCCGAGATGAAAGGATCCAATGGCTGCGGCCACAGGGGAGCGAGCCAGACAGGAAAGAGATTTAAAGGCTTTGAATGGATGGCGATCCAGCGGCCTCGGAACAAAACAACTTCTTAACTCTTTTTGGGATGACCTTAACCCTCTTCACAAAGTGACGTCAGTTGGATCTTTGGAGGCGTCAACATATTTTAGTTTCAGAAGATTCTCATTCCAAAGAAAGAAAAAAGACATTGACCATGGCGTCGTCGTCGTCCTCTGCAGCAGAAGGCTCTACCAGTAGTAGTAATAATGACACATTCGATCCATCACTAGTGGCACAAGCAGAAGCGTACATTCATGCCGAAGTGCACTTGTTTTCCGGTTGTCGCGACGAACAAACGTCAGCTGACATTTCCAATGTGGAGCTCTTTGGACTTCCCGATCCCCAAGGGCGAGCCGGTGGCGCTTGTACTTCGGCCATGCTCAAAGCACTCTATGCTACTACATCCACAAGTGAAAGTAGTATGTCTTATGGCAACGTCTTGTCGCACATGAGATCCATTCTCAGTGAAGGACAGTACACACAGATTCCACAACTCACGTCCAGTCGACCCGTCGATATGCATGCGCCATTTCATATTGTTCCAACGAAATGTCAAGATGGTGTCAAACGAGCTGTTTTGATTGGGATCAACTATACAGGTACCAGAGGAGAGTTGTCAGGTTGTCACAATGATGTAAGTCTTATCTATCTATCTTGGCAAAACTATAGGTAGCAAGATACCTAGCTAGATACCTCCGGTATGGGACTGACCTTATCTGACCGTTGCTCTTGCTTGCATTCCACCTAACCAATAAATAGGTAAAGAATGTAAGTTTTGCCAATTTAAAAGAAATCTACTTGCGATGTTTGAATGTTCGTTGTGAAAGCATTTTGCAGTCTTACTCTCATGAATCTCATACTGTATGGTTTCTTTTTGAATGTTCGTAAAGGTCAAAAAGTACCTGCAGACGGTTCACGACTTTCAAGAGGAAAACATTACAATGCTATTGGATGATGGAGATCATACGCCGCCCACAAAGGCAAATATACTAAAAGCATATGATACGCTAGTCAAGCAATGTCAGGAAGGAGATGCCGTCTTTTGTCATTATGCTGGTGCGTGCAGGGACCTGATTCGATAGATTATCTGCCTCCAACCGCAATAACCAATCCTTGTATGATATGATCTACTCATTGTGATTTCCATTCCATTCCGAATCTATTTTGACGCAGGACACGGGGGAAGTGTTCCAGACACGAGCGGTGATGAGGAAGATGGATACGATGAAACCATGATACCAATAGACTACAAGACTGCCGGGCATGTCGTCGATGATGAACTCTTTAAAGTTTTGATTTGTCCCATGCCAAAGGGAGGTGAGTATTTGTGCGGTATGGTACGGTACGGAACGAAGGGATTGCCATCTTTCCTTACAACTACTAACCCTCTCCATGCCTGCTGCATGCATGCAATGCAGTGGTCCTAAATTGTTTGGTCGATTGCTGTCATTCGGGAACCATACTGGATCTACCCTTTACGTTTATTGGGGATGGGACACAACAACAAATGACATTCGACAAGCGCTTTCAGTTTCCGCATGCCAAACTTGTACAAAACTTTCATGACGGAGTTGTCGACTGGCATTGGACTGTCTACGTGGCATCCGTCATCACCGCCATTATGGCCATTGCCGTTCCCATTGTCTTGCTTCTATTGCCGATATCGACCACAACAATCAGTGCACCAGAGTCAGTGGTAGTTGTTCCGCCGCAAGAACCAACCGGACCGCTAACCATGGTACGCAATCTAGTTCGAAGCTTGAGGCGGAAATGAAAGAAAGATCAGAGTTTCTTGGCCTGGTCGAGTGTGCGGTACCAGCTACGGTAGACGCTGTGGCGCACTTGGGGCTATGATTGCAATTGACGACTTGTTATTATTATTCTACAGCTAGTTTCAACGAAGCCTGCAAACTATCATGTCAGGCCAGCCGGGTCGACGTGTGTAGTCGTGACTTCACAATTTGGCAGCCAAAGGGACACAAAAGTGTATCGTGATGCTCAAAACCAAGCTCTTCCATCCAATGGCAGATCTTGACTTGCTGGCTGTAGCTAATGAATAGGGCAGACGCAGGAGGCTATGTACTCGATCTTGGTTGATTCTGGTCGTCCGGAGCTTCGGGCAAGCTCAAACCATGCCCATCAATGGTTTCTTCCATCCCAGTGCATCGATTACAATGAGACTCTTTTGCGAAGGATCCCTCCTCCCTCGCTTTGCCTCCCATCCACGGCAATCGGTTAAAGGATCTGGGTGTGGTTTCACTGGCCTGAGGTGATCCGCAGCTGATTGGCAGATCAAAAATACTAGTTTAGTAAGTTCTAAATCGATGTAAGAATTCATTCACGAAAAGGAGCATGCCTTTACAGGGCACCAAGGTTCAGCAGCTCTTTGTGGCTCCTCGATGGCCAAGTCCGTTCATTGGCTTCGCACGACAAGATCGACTAGGGGCAGCTCCGGGGGGGGGCACTCTCTCGTGCTGGTGTCTATTTTATCCTGCCTCGCTCCTGGAGTCGGCGTGGCTCCAAGAAACACAGGGAATAAAGAGCTCCATCGGTATCAGTAGCACGTGTCGCAACAATCGCAAGTTATTTCGCGCACGCAGTCGGCTTCTAGTCGACTGAGGCTTTTCAAAAGATGGAAAAAGCCGGCCTTGAGATGGCAAAACTGAGTAGGAATGCTGCCATAAAGATCATTGTGCTGGATCAAGAAAGACTCTAGCTTTGTCATGGCGGCGTAGCTCGTTGGAAAGATGCCCGAGAACTTGTTTTGCTCGAGCGAAATGGACTCTGGTGAAACGCAAAATGAATGTCAAGGAAAGCAATAGGTTAGACTTACACTCATCTTCCGCATGGTTAGGAGCAAGCGTTGACTTACCAATATCGGTGACACTAGACAATGAGCGGGGCAGGATACCACTGAAAAGATTGTTGCTGACGTTCAATGCCTCTGTCAAGACCATGGAAAGGGGTTAGATAACTTTGCCAAGCGGCTCTTTGTCGAGCACTTGCACACCAAGAACTTCTTACTTAAGTTTGACAACGTGTTGAAGCGATCTGGCAGGTGGCCGCCAATGGCGTTGTTTTCGACGGAAAGGATCTCTGAACAAGCAAAGCCATCATTAGTGCATTCCATTTTGCCAAGTGCAAATAACATCGATGCACGCCGCCCGGAAACGTAAAGTGTGTAGACGTACCCAAGTTATGCATCAGGGCGAGGTCAATGGAGATTGACCCAGTCAAACTATTTGTCCCCACGTCCAAATCCACTGTAAGCCACAGAAGCGAGGAGGCATTGATTGTGAGGTTGGTTGGTTAGCAGCCAAGGAGTTGAGATGGACTGCGTGCTTGCTGCGTACCCAAAGAAGTCAAAAGGAATATCTCTGTGGGGATGCTTCCTACGAACAAGTTATTGTTCAGATGCAGTATCTCTGTTTCAAAAGATGGATAAGGCAAAGACGATTAGTGCAAGGCAGCATATCTTCCCTAAACGTCGCCGAACACATTACGTACCAAGACTTGGCAGGTTTGAGATTCGAGGTAGACTCCCAACAAGTAGGTTGTAGCTAAGATAGAGCTCTTTGAGAGCTTCCAAATTAGAAATGCCAGAGTTTGGAAGCTCACCGCTGAACAAGTTCCTCGCCATGTTGATGCCCAACAGGGGATTCTCGTCAAACCACTGGAAAGGAGGACTGCCCGTTATTTGATTGTCGTTGACATAGAAATATTCCAGTTGAACCCATGGCTTCATGCTAAGGGCTGTCGGCAAGTCCAAGCTTCCACTGATTTGATTGTGACTGACGTCAAAGGACTTTAAGGAGTCCCTTAGGGCTTGGAAGAGTTCCATCATTGGCAGCTGTCCTTTCAAGCTGTTCATTGTAAGATTCAGTGACACGACCATGTCGTCATCGTTGCAGCGGATTCCGTACCAATCGCAGATGCTAAAGTCGGACATCCACTTGGTCTTGCGCTGCCAACCTTGGTAGTCCCGCTGCTCCCTCTCGTCATCGTTGGAAACTTCCCTCTCCATTCGAGTCACTTCGTGCTCCACAATCTGCTCGACCTGTCGTGGCGCCGCTGGATGGTAGTGTCCACCCACGGAATAAAAGAATACGGCCAGCGAGTATCTTTGGAGCAACCGCACGAAGCGAATGTCTCTGGATTCCTCTGCAATGGCGAGCGCGTCCGATTGTGCCAGCCAAAGCAACGCCCTCCGCTGTGGACTCATCATCGTGCTGGCTGTGCCGCCCCCGGCATCTTCATGATCGTAGTTGAGTGCTTCTGGCAAGGAAATCTCGTGCCGAAGAACAATGCTCGCAAGCTCCCCCAAGATGAGGTCTGGTGGAGCCGGGGATGGCGGATGATGGGACATGTGCACCTCGACTTGATCGCCATTGTGTGTGATAACGTCAATATTGTTCGGTGACATCTCCTCCACTTTGATCTCTCCACTACGGCCATCATCCACGAATTGTGACATTGTCTTGGTGGCTTCTCCTGCTTTTTCGGCTGCAGCAAATTCATTAAACCGCAGATTCAGGTACACACCATAGGCGATAAAGCCTATAACAATAAACACCTTTGTCAAGAAGACAAACAATCCCCTGGTCCTGTCAAGAGCCGTCTGTTTCTTCTTGGATGGGTCAATTGCATCAGCATTGGACACATCCGCCTTGTGTCTGCTCTGTTGGCTTCGTTGGAAACCCGAGCGACCTTCGACGACACCAATGAGGCTCTCGTCGGTAATCAGGTCACTTCTTCGAATTTGGACGTGAGACGGTCTGGTCGCAAATTTGTGAGGTCGACCGGGAGCCACAAGGCTCTTGCGGCCCACGGACGTTCTGGACTTTGCACTTCGACCACTTCGTTGACTGGCACTATCCAGACTATCTCTTTCAAACTGGCTGTTGTTGTTGTTGTGCTCCATAATGTTGACACTCTGATCGACCTGTCTCAAGTCTTGCTTGGCGCGCTTGGCAAACATGGGCCCGAGATCGACGGCATCACCTTCGGCAGTGGCAAAACCCTTGGTGCCTTGCTTGGAGGACGTTTCGGCTTTGGTGGCATTGACAGTATGCTGCCATTCGAGATCGTATATCTGCATGCATGTGTGATGATGGAAAGAGCAGAAGAAGAGGAAGCAAGCGTGCAGTTAGGGGAACAAGAACAATAAAAAAGGCAGGATTCGTTTGTTTAGCTAGCTAAAAGTTCTTCTTACGGATGGCATTGAATGCACAGACCCATCTTCGGCAATACTATCCGTAGACTTTTTGCCAGCCCCGCCTCTCGGAATCTTGGGCAATGCTTGATTTGGCTTGGCAGGAGCTGCTGGCTTGTTCTGGCCGGTTTTGGGTGCTGATGATTTTGACGACTTGGGCTGGTCCGATGTTGCTGCTGTTTCGACCGATGCCGCAGCAGAAGGCGGCGTTTGGGGTGGCACCGGGGCGGTAGAGGAAGCCACTGAGGAAGATGGGGTTTGTGGTGTTGGTGGTGCTGCAGCATCAGCATCCGGTGGCGCTGGAGTCGATTCAGACGAGAGCTCCTGCTGTGGTGCGGCTGAACTCTCTTGAGCAGGGGCAGACTCTGTCTCTGTCTCTTGAGCAGGTGCTGCGAGCTCTGCTGCTGCAGTTTCTCCCTCTTCAGCAGGGGATGCCGGTGGCGGCTGGGTTGCACCTTCACCTTCGTCAGCCATAGTTGCAGGTTGCAGCGGCAGCTATGGAAGAACAAAGATGGGCCAGCTAGATGGTCTTCAGCTCCCTCCCTCCTGGGACAGGAAAAAAAAAGACAGATGGTTAAGACAGGGCAACCAGCAGATCCACTTCTTTGCTCAACTGACACACCCACCTGATGACTCTGATCTAGCCGACCTCTCCGCAACGGCGCCAAGTAGCGAACGGCCTGACTCTTACTGCCGTTGCTATTACTTTAGCAAGCCATGGACGAAGAACAGGTCATGGCGACTCAAACTCTCTCAAATCTCTCTTTACTCTCTCAACTCTTCCTATCCTGGTGCATACTGGTCTCTTGCTGAGATTGTCTTGATAGGCGCAAGTCAACAGTCCCTGGCAAGAAAATTCGACCAAGGAAGCTAAAAAGGGCCCTAACAAGCAAGGTCCGAGCAGATTGTGAGCACCCGGTTTGGAAATCCAAGACAGCCGCAACCCTACAGTACCGTGAATACTGTGTGCAGTAAAGATTCAATACTTAAAGAACTGCAACCAGTGTGCAGCAGTATCGATGGTTTTGTACCGAAAGATTTAAACTGGTCATCAATTTTGAATTACAATTAGGTAAGCTGTCATACCAGACACCTATGTATCCTTGTACCAGATCGGCAAAAAGCCTAAGTAGATGTCTCAATGGGTGTGACATCCATTCGCTCACATTTTGATCTTGACGGCAACGCGAGCACTAATCTCCAACTCCATCGCAGCAGCATCTGGCCTGTTTGGATCTCTTGCTGGTACCGTACATGTAGCTAGCTATGACAGATGTACTTGCAGGACACAGGCAACCTGCGATTGCCAGAACAATTTTGGGCACTAGTACTAGCTACCGCAGCTTAGCTAGCAGTAGTCGATTCCTTGGCAAAAAGACACATGTTCGCGCCACCGCCGAACCAAGAAGGGTGCGTTTGCTCGACATCTTCTAGCTACCTTAAAGACTCGAATAATCAATCTGGGCGCCTTCCATACGAAATCCCCGGCCATACATAGACTGTGCTTATGATACAGTGTACTAGTACCTCCTGAGTGAAGGGTAGACTGGCTAGAGCTCCGGCCAGCCACCAAACCCAGAGCTCCTCTTTTTAAAATAGTGCAAATTCAACCTCCATTTTTGTTCGTACATTGATTCATTCTTTATCTTTTATTACATGCTCTAGTAAAAGGCATGCCGTCCTCCTTCCAAAAGTATAGTCCCTGGGAATTGCTGCAACACAGACCCCTTCTAGCCATGCAGTTGTGCTGGCATTTAAAAAATGTGGAGCAACTCGCCAGCAAACTAGCAAACCGTCCTTGCATCTTGCTTGATGCCCATATTCTTGATTCTCCTCTTTCCTTCCTTCCTTCCTTCCTTCCTTCCTTCCTTCCTTTGTTTGTCTACATGGCTTCATCTAAGCACAGGAGGCAGCCTCCACACAATCCGGATCGGCTGCGCATTCGTCATCGGCGCAATCACAGGCTGCATCAGTACACGTCTCCCATTCAACCCATTGGCCCTCAGTCCAGGCATCGATGTCTTCGTCAGTAGCATCACCCCAGCACGCATCATAGCAGTCCTCATCATCAGTATCATCAGCATCATCACCACTTTCACCTTCACCGTCTCCACTGTCTCCACTGTCTCCACTGTCTCCACTTTCATCAAGTTTGCGAGTCTCCTGAAATTGAATATTCATGTATGGACGCATGGATGTGCGTGTGAGAGGCAGACAGTGGATGCGCAATAGCTAGTACAAAGCACAACCAGCCAGCCAACCAAGTAGAAAAACAAAGAAGCAACATCAGCCTGCAGTGGACTCACATGCTTGTTCTTGTGCTGGTGGGAAGCAGGGGTACGAAGCGCCTGAAACATTCATGTATGTAAGAGCGGAGGGATGAGCTACAAGAGAGGACAAACAAGCAAGACAAAGAAGCAACAACAGCAATGAACTTACACGACCGGCTTCATCGTGGTGGGAAGCAGATGCCATGACAATCAAGACTGCAAGGAGCATGGAGAGGAACGAAATGCGCATCATCTTGGATTTTTTGTTGTTGGAGTTATTGACTTGACTTGACTTTGGTTGGTTGGCTGGCTGCTTAGGAGCTGCTGGAAGTTAAAATTGTGAGCCTAGATTGTCACTCTTTCTCCCTCAATCTTTGCCATGTGCCGTGTATTGATTCTGGACCCGTTTGTTTGCCGTCATCTGGCAGCAGCACCTGGTTAGGCACGAAAACGTCATAAATACGACATTTAATTAAGACAGAGTGACTTGTGACACTTCATTTTGAATACTGTTAAGTTAAGAGACTTAGAGGCTTAATTCCTCACCAGCTTCAGCTAAGATCATTGAGAATGATACGATGGATCCGACCTGCCTGTCTCCGCACCAGACGACAGCTTTGACGTGGAGGTAGATGCGGGAATAAAAATGTTTCCTACATGTACCAGAGTTTTATTAACTTTAACCCCATCTTTACCGCATCTAACCTTAGCCTTCTGCAGTTGGATCCTTCGGTCGTACCGGTGGTACCGGTGGTACAGCGTACCTGGTACCAGTACTGGTGCCGATAGGTCGCCTGGTACCGGTATCGATGGCTGCTTGTGGTCCTCCACTCTATTTCGTCCATCAAGATGATTCAAGAGGACGCAACACCCGACTACTCCTCTTTCATGGCTGCTCTACGCCACCATGACAGGATGCTCTTGTTTGATAGGCTGGTACAGTACCGTACCATGCAGCAGCCGTGAAACCCTTGCTAGCTGCTTGTTCCGATTTACAGATCGAGCAACCAGCGGCTACTACGGTACAGAAATGGCACTGCTGCTGACGCTCGGATTGATTGGCTTTTCGGTGGAACGACAATGATGCCTGATATCTGATCGTCTACGGAGAGAGGCTCGCGAATCGATGCAAAAGGCAGCATGGGCACTGGCTTGACGTGTCGAGCCAACACGGCCAACACTCCAGCGATACCTTTACTCTATCTCCCGTATCTATCCTTACTCTATCAAGACGAAACCGTATCACCACCATCACAGGCTCCTCTTGTCTTGTTTGGTTCGGCTGGAAACAGCGGCCTCTGTTCGACAATGCTTCTTTTGGTGGACGGCACAAAGCACAAAGCCACCTTCAGTTCAGCACGCATGTCCCGGTACGGTAGTGGAGGTTTAGTTTTTTTGCTTGGCTGCTGCGAACAGATTCGATTGAATTCAGAACAGAGATGCCGAGGCTTAAAAGAGACGTTTTGGCCGTCAGGATAGGATCATACATACTGTACCAGGTACCTGCGACGGGATACAGCTTACAATTCAGCTTTACAGCTTTACAATTAGCAGGCTTATTCTAGAAAATAATCAATAACTGCTCACTTATTTGGAAATACAAACTTTACATCTCTTAGATCCTTGGACTAGTCAATGCACAATGGTATTGTCGCATGGTAGCATGCGTTGTTATGAGATGTTACTCATTCTTATTCTTATAGGTCTATCTTATGACCCCTTTGATTCGCTCGCAAGCAATCCCCTCTCATTTGATCCTTTGGATTCGCTCGCAAGCAATCCCCTCAAATCTTCCCTATTTTCTCCTGTCTTGGATTCGCTCGTAGGCAATCCCCTTGCCAACATTGTTGTTGTTGATTCGCTCGTAAGCAATCGCAACCATGGACTCCTACAGGAGTCCACCTTTCATCCTGTCGTTGATCGAAATCGCGATGAGGACCTTATTTTAAACAATGGACTCCTATGGGAGTCCACCTTTTTCTCGATCGACGCAGGTACCACTACTGGTACTGCTTCTGTTACTGCTACTACTACTATCGCTTCTACTGCTACTACTGTTATCTCTATCACCGGCAAAGCCTTGGCCGATCGTCAAGGGGATCCCATTAACTCGGAGCGATCGATCGGCCGAGTTAACAAAATTCATCGAAAAATGAGCTCCGTCTGCAATAAGGCTCGGCTTGTGTGTCATGCTCTCAGTCATGCATTCGAAGCGCGGTTGCCCTCTATTATGGGTTCAAAACTGACTCGTGCTTCTGCTCCTCACTTTTTCATTAAGGAGACGCGCAACAACAACAACAACAACAGGAGCGATCGATCGCTCCGTAGACTCTGTCCTCTATTACCGCGGACTGGAATTGGGCGTTCAAACGAAGGAGACTGGCTTGCAGTTGGTCGTTTGAACGGGCTTGCAGTCGCAGTCGGTCGTTTAAATTTATACTCGACCTTTCGTACGGATCCTACTACGAAGCCACCCTCGATCGTTCGCGATGCCGACGTCCTCTTGATCGCTCGCGATGCAAACGTCCTCTTGCTTGCAGTCAGCTGGCTTGCAGTTGGTCGTTTAAACTGGATTGCACGTCATTTACTTGCAGTTTGTCATTTGAATGATTCAAACAGTTCGGCGAATAGGTCTTATCCATCGTGTTCTTCGAGCTGTTCAAAGGATCATAAATTCCAACTTCAGTTGACTCGATTGACTGAATATCCACTGCGCTACTCTTGTCGACACTCCTCCTGTTGCCGCTCCTCCTGTTGTTGCCGCTGTTGCCATTGCCATTGCCATTGTTCCTCTTTTGTTGATTCTCACTTGATGGACCTTGACGACGCTTCCTCTTCTTCAGCATCTTCATCTTCAGCTTCGACTCCAGCACCAGCACCAGCATTCTTGTTCAGTCCACAAGGCTTCAGACAAGCCTTCTTTGAATCTGATCCAATCATCCCACCATCTGATCCTCCAACCATGACTACAGCACCCTTGACCGCTGTTCAATTCCAGGAGCTTCTCCAGCACATTGGGAAAACCAAAGAGAAGACCAAGCTTACAGAAGCCCCTCGGCTTGGAGGTATCAACCACACCGGAGCCTGGACAGGATCTGGGTCAGATGGACTGGGAAAGGAACCTCAAAGCACCCTATGCCTCAGGGGTTTCCATGGAGATGACCATCTAAAACATCACACTACACTCCAGCCCATTGAATTGGCATGCAAGAAAGGACTGAAGGATTCCACCAGTCTCCTATTCTCGACTCGACGTTGACGGAGTCAAATGCCTCTGGGTCCCATGTTCTAGCCTCTCTCATCGCCTTTGAAAGTATGATGACTGAGCATGGAATGGAAGGGATCTTTGAGCTTGTTGTTGGTGACCTTAATACTAACACCATAAACAAAATCAATATGTTCACCTCTCCTGGGCAGGTCTCAGAATCTATGATGGACAAATGGCATCAGGATCTCACAGTAAATGGGGTTGGATTCATCGATGCTGGGACTCTGAAGCCACACTCTGTCTGCCAGTATGATCTAACCAACCTTGCCTGGTCGGGAAAGGCTGTCTTGAACTCTTGCACTGATGCCCTCCAGGAGGAATTGAAATCGTATGTCCCTCGAGCCAAACATAATGGGCCCCAGCTTCTCTTGGCTCTTCTGCAGAAAATATACAGACCTTCTCTCAGCAAGATTGAGACCCTCAAAGCCAAGCTTCTTCACTTGGACATCACCAAGTTCCCTGGTGAAAATGTTTCCATGTATGTTGTCGATGCAAGCAAGATCATCAAAGAGATTCGATTGAACTTTATGTCCAGTGATCCCATGCCTGAACTATCCAGCACATCCCTAAGAGGTCTTCTTGGATGTGGGTGTCCATACTTTCGATCCAAAGTCCATGAGCTTGTTGGAAATCACTCGTACACTTTAATGACTTGATGCCCCTACATGGTTCTCATCAATCAGAAAACTTATGAACCTGCCCAACATCTTTGATCCAATCCCAGCCAAGCCTTCCAGCAGCAATTACAAAGCAGTAGAGGCAAAATTGGGAGTCTCACCCAGGATCGAAAACATCAGCCAGTGGCGTACCCGTCCTCTAGCCTGCTTTGATTGTTATCTACTATCATCATAGAAACGATCCAGCATTTCCCAAGCGAGTTCCCAAGGACAACGTCTAGCTGTAACCAACTCCACTCACAACTCTTATCAAAACAAGCTTGCTTCCATGCCTCCAAGGGAGAACATCTATGATGCCCAACACACCATTGCTTATGAGAAGGGTTGCTAAATACTGTCGCAACTGTTGAATTTCCCAAAGCACCAGTGCCCATTTCACCAGTGAACACTTGTTCCAATTTCCTTACAACACCCTCTCTTTGCAATGCTACTCCACCACCAGCTCTCCAGCTTGCTCCAATCACTGCTGGTGCAACCTTCTTCTTCCACCATGATTACCTATGTCCGCTTGATGTCCCTGTTCTAGCCACTATGAGTTTATACACGCCATCCCAATTTTTAGTATTTTGATTCTATGCAGGTCAACATCAGCAGATCTCAGTTCATGAGACCTCCCTCTTAGCTACCAATGGGGTTTCATGTTGCTTCCCAACACACTTGCAACAGTGTTTCTCTTGCCTATTCTTTTGCCCCATTTTTGCCTTTCTATCTCGTCTATTCCTTCTCTTGTTTGGAGGGAGAAGATATAGTCTGCTATGCAGACATTTATCAAATACACTTCGAATCCAGCCCTATTCTTGGAGGACAACCTTTCTCCAGTCCACCTCTAAAATTGTGATTATCTCTGATCCCATATCTTCCCCACCATATCTCATTACTATGTCTCCGGGTGCGGTGTTTTTGTTTTCTTTTTTTACAACTTGCTTCCAAAGTTCAAAGTTAACCATTCTTCATTTTCTCTTGCATCACCAAACTTGTTTCTTCCACGCTCAATCGCGCCAAAACATTTTATCCCGATCCAACCCAGACTCATACTTTCAATCCCAAAATGATTCTTCACCTGTGTACACCAATGTCTCTTCTTAAAAAAATAACTTTAAGACACCTATGTCGTTCTTCTCAACCCTCAACTCCAACCAGGCTTCTCGCAAATGTCGGGCCAACAAACCCTGTCGAATACAAGCTGATGCCTCCTTGGACATTAACTCAGTCACTGCACAATCATTCCACCTCCCATTGATCTTGTCTTTAAAAACACTTAATACTACTCATCAAGAACTAAACACACACCAGCTCTCACCACCACACATGTCTCTCCAACAACGCATCCATCTTCTAATGAATCCTTTGCCCAAGTCACTTCTTATTGCCATATGTCTTCAGTGCTTTTGTTGATAGTGGATGTTCTATTCTTGACCAATACTTTCAGTGATTTGACCCAAATTCTATCAGAAATTTCCGAACCAATTATCCTAGGAGGTATCGCTGGAGGTCTGAGCATCATACATCCACTACTGATTAGACTTTGATGAGCAACAAATGTTGTGTCATTTCGGATCATTTATTCATCCTGATCTTCCAACAGACTCCTAAGCCCTCAACTTTCTTTCCCATCAAGGATTGACCCACAAACATGCAAACTCAGCATCACTTCAGAGTCTACCACACCATGAATGCATAGGAAAAAAATCAGTACAAATGAAGTTTGACTCCAGTTTTCTACCACACTTACTCTGTTCCCAAAAGAAACACTCTCTTCTCACAACAATGACTTCATTCTACATACCAACAACCAACTTCTATTTGACAAAATCTGGTGCCAATCATTACAATTTGACATCTGTCCTTCTCCCATGTCCAATCCTTGGTTTGGTTTCTAGACAAAAAGTCTCTTTGCTTAGAAACAGGTCGGACATCCTAAATGTGCCGCTTGTCAATATGAAAACAAGTCAGCAACATGATCACACCACTGTCACCAAGAAGCTCCCAGACAAACAGGAGCTCAAGAAAAACAATTGAGCCGGTTGACAACTATTACCAATTGGAGTCAAGAGTCAGAGAAATTGTTTCACACTGCCGGAAGAACAAGAACAATAAATTCTTGAACCTCAATATTTTGTGATGCTGCATCGGCTGCCATCTTTGCCACCACCAAGTTACATTGAATGCTTCTGATTCTATCATGGCCAAAAGCATACGAACGATGTCTCAAACATGGTTTGTTCAATCATATCACACTGACAATGGCATCTACAAAACCAAGCAATGTCCAACATCTTACCACCATCAATCAATCAAATATCTCACCGGTGCAAATGGAGAATGGGTTTCTGAGGAGCCATTAGAATTTTAGTAACCAAACTAGAACAATGATGATCCATGCTGCACTTCTATGCCGGAAGTTGATGATGAATCCCTTGGCCCTTGGAGTCTCTCATGCAGCTCACCTTTACAACCACACTCCGAATTCAGTACTGGCATTGCTCCCATTGAGTATTTCCAGAACTGTCAGTGATGGTCAAGTCATCAGAAATGCCCATCCATGGGGATGCCCTGCATAGTTTTGGAACCTTACCAGGAAGAGAATTCCAAAATGGCAGCCCAGGTCCAGGAGAGGACAATATGTTGGCACTCACCTGTCCATTCAGAAAATATTGTTTTATCCCAACCTTACAACCGATACCTTTCCCCTCAGTACCATCTGTCTATATGATTGTTTGAAACAGTTTACTCTTCAGAAATCAACCACCTCAGAGTGGAAACATGTGCATCTTCCAACGCTCTAGACCCTATTTATGAGACACTCCACCTCCCTTAGCAGACGAGTGCTACTCCAGAGGAACCATCAACCAGCACCATCATCTCATCCAGAAGTTCGACATGGAGAAAATAGGCAGATGACAAGAGCAAAACAAAAGATGATCTTCATTTAATCCCTCACAGCCCCATCCCACCAGAGATTCAATCCCACCTCGCTTCAGACACAGCAACTGCCTTCGACTTGGCAAGGGAGCCTCCCATCGTCACACTCCCACCACATGTCCTATCGAGAAATCCCTCACTCCCCACTCATCCCAAACAGCTCACAACAAGAAGCCTGAGACTCTGAACATGAACCCGAAACTAAACTTACTCACGCCTTCATCCAGCTCTGTTGTGCCTTAGCTGTGACTTTTGGAATCACCAATTTCAGCACATCTCAACTCAGGTAACTGGATATTACCTTGACCAACACCCAAGGAATCTTTCATCCTGGCATTCTTCAAAGCCCACTGGCTCTCAAGGCCAAAATTTCCAAAGACCCTGTCTCCCCTCTGAAGGAATTCTGATGGGACCACATGCAACCACTTCTGGGCAGCAATGACAAAGAAATTGCCAGCCTTGAAGCAAAGGGACTTGCACATCTTACAACGTTCTTCTATGCCCTCACACCTCAAGGCAGTCCTGGAACATGGGTCAACGAATAAGAGGTTACCAGAGGCAATTAAATAAGTTCAAATCTAGATGTGCTGCAGAGGAAGACCTTCAGTCCTATGAAGGCATCGCATACTCTCCACTTGTTGGTTGGCCACTGTTAGAGCCGGTCTTCTTCTTGCAGCTGCACATGGATGGGAATCGAGACAAGTTGATTTTACTCTGTCTTTCTGTCAAAGCCCTCAGCCTGTCGACCAGCCACTGTACATGGAATTGCCTCAGTACTATCGACCAAAGATTATGAAGGACAGACTTTTTTGAAACTTGACAAGTCCATCATGTGCAGACATTCACCCAAATTATTTTATGAGCATCTATGTCGGGATGATCCAACTTTGTTTCGAAACCTCGGCAGCAGACCCATGTTTTTATTCATAAGACAAACTGATTATTATTATATTTGACCAATCTGTCTAGTCAAGACAATATCTATTATCCTATGGTTGCAGCTCCAGAAACTTGATATACCTCACCATGGAAGAAAAGGTGACATCTTTGGATTCCTCGGCATTAATTTTGAAAACAGGGAACAATGTTGAGCTTACTCAAAAAGGGCTCATCAACAAAGTCATCGAATATACTGGTATGTCTGACGCTAGCAAGAAGCTTTCTCCTGCCGCCACCGATCCTCTCGGAGCTGACAAACTGGCCCCATTTAAAGATGAGCTACCCAGCTGCAGTTGGATGCTCTTTATATTGCGTCGAACACTCGCCCAGACATCACATTTAGTGTGCACCAGGTGGCACGATTCAGTCACAATCCAGGCTTCCCATGCTCAAGCAATCAAACGTATCATCGGTATCTTGATTGGCACAGTGACAAAGCATTTTTTTAGCCTAAACTTGATCAGGGACTTATTGTTGGTCGATGCTGACTTCGCCGATTTATGATATGAGGATGATCAGTTATCTGTGTCCGTCAAATTCTCGCACTTTTTTTCTTGACTTTGTTTGGGTCCCTATCATCTGGTCCAGCAAGCTACAGACTGACATTACTTTGATCCACTGCTGCTGAGTATGTTGCCTTCAGCATGTCAATGAGGGAGCTTCCTATGCGAGCTTTGCTCAAAGAAATTTAGCAAACTGAATATGCCGTAATTACTACAGTCTCGTGCGCCTCACATGTTCGAAGACAACCAAGTTTGCTTCTCTTGTGAATGTCCCAAGATCGTCGCGCACAAATATGCATTAATACCAACTCTCAGCCAAATAGCTGTTATGGAATTACTTTAAGTACCACTTCTTCAGGTCCAATATCGGGGAGTCGAAGGGCATCGTGGCCAAGTATATTCCGACTCTGGAACAACGGGCCGACATTTTCACTAAGGGTCTTCCGGCTCCACAGTTTGCTGTTATTCGGAAGCTCCTCATGGGATGGTAATTTACCTCAGCACTTTGCTGGGGACTCTCTCCTATCGTTTCTTGCTCCAGCTTCATTTTAGCTGTAAGGGAGTGCGACGGGATACAGCTTACAATTCAGCTTTACAGCTTTACAATTAGCAGGCTTATTCTAGAAAATTAAGTCAGCGGGAGCTGCGATACCTCGGCAGAAAGACAGATAGAAGAAGGAGGATCATGTTCGAGATTGCACCCATCTTTCAAGCCAGCCCTGGCGACAACACCCGACTACGTCGTGTGTTGCCGCCCGGTATCATTCATTCCCTCATTGCAACCTTCTTTATTAAGCTAGCCCTGGCGACAACACCCGACTAGGTCGTGTGTTGCCGCCCGCTACTCTATAATTTACCAGCTGCCACTCCCTTATTGTAACTCTAGCCTTTACAGCTCCTGCTGGCTTTTTGTGCTGTTGTGCTGATTGCACTAACCTTAAATATTAATGATTTATTCCTACCCCTAACTTGTATTGAACCATCAATGTTCAGTTTTGTTGGCTTATGACTATCTCTATCCTTATACTTTGGCTTCACCGGAATAGGAAATAGGAAATAGCATTAAAGGGGTTGAGAACTCAGGCAGTTTACCTGCCGAGGTAATCAATAACTGCTCACTTATTTGGAAATACAAACTTTACATCTCTTAGATCCTTGGACTAGTCAATGCACAATGGTATTGTCGCAGTACCTGTAGAGAAACAGAACATGACCCCATAACGATTGTAGCTGGCCCTCTTTTCAATGATTCATGGCCTTTGACGATCCGTGTGAACTTGATCCTCCTCTGCCGTCGGCGAGGTACGGTGAGCAGCCAAGCAGCCCAGCATTGTCGAGAACACTAATCGTGTTAATATACGTGCAAAAGCAAATGGTGATCATTTGCTTTGCGACCGACCATCATTCCAAAGTACTGCTGGTAGTCTCAAACCATCGGCATGCCTGACAAACCCACAAGTTGCAGTAATGGCCCAACGATCAAATTTGTTCAATGGGCGGCTGCCGAATTACTCTGCATCCAGATATGGGCTTGTTCGTTCGTTTTTGGAATTCATGGAGCGCTTCTCTTTGCTATATATTCGCTTGCTTGAGCGATTGAAGCAAACATCCAGTTCCGTTCACACATTGATTCATTTTTTTAAAAGTCTTTTATGACACTCTAGCAACAGGCATGACAAGTCATCCTCCTCCAAAATTATGGTCCCTGAGAATTGCTGCAACACAGACCCCTTCTAGCCATGCACCCGCAGCCATCCAAAAATGTGGAGCAACTCACCAGCAAACCAACCGCAACCAACCATCCCAGCGCATCTTTCTTGACGCCCAATTTGATATTCTCCTCCTTCCTTCCATCGTTCGTTCGTTCCGTCCTCTTTCCTTCCTCTCCATGCATCATCTAAGCATCGCAGATAGCCGCCACACAATCCGCATCTCCTTGGCATTCGTCATCCTCGCAATCACAGGCTGAATCAGTACATGTCTCCCATTCAATCCATTGGTCCTCAGTCCAGGCAGCGATCTCTTCATCAGTAGCATCACCCCAACAAGCATCATAGCAGTCCTCATCGTCAGTATCATCAGCATCATCACCACTATCATCACTGTCATCACTATCCCCTCCATCAATACTTTCACCATCAAGCTCTGGTCCGTTCAACCCAACAAGATCGTACGTTACGCCCAAGCTCCCAAGCTCCTGAAACATTCATGCATGTATGTACCGGTATGTGAGTGGATGAGCAATCGTACAAAGGACAAGCGAGTATGACAAAGAAGCAACAACTGCGTTGGACTTACACGCTGGGGGTTGGCGAGCCCCTGAAACATTCATGTATGTATGTATGCATGCATGCATGCATGTGAATGGATGGATGAGCAATAGGAGCTACAAAGAAGGGCAACAAGCAAGTAGGATAAAGAACAACAGCAATGGACTTACGCGAACCTGACCGGAGGAAGCAGATGCCATGGAAATCAAGACAGCAAGGAGCATGGAGAGGAACAAAACTCGCATCATCTTGGATTGTTTGTTTTGGAGCAAAGTTGAGGAGAAATTTGAGTTGACTTTTGGCTACTATGGTGTGGAGGTGTTCGAAGTTTTAAAACATTGTGAGCCTATCTAGCTAGCTAGCTAGCTAGACTGCTGTCGTTTCTCCTGGGGTATACCGCCCCTGGATCCCTCAACTTGCTTGCCGGGTGTCGATATCCCAGGTCCTTTGCCAGAGGCTCACAAAACCATCTGCACTCTCACCAGATCTTCAGATCTTGCCTCCAAATACCGGACCACACCGCCTTTATGTTGTAGTTGCTGGAATGACGTCATGAGGGCACTTTGTGTCTCGACAGCTGTCTTGATGCATTAATTTTATGTACTAGCTTAACCAAAGGGCCGGAAATCACGATTTTATGAATCTAACCAAATTGATCAATTCGAAACCTAAATATAAAACCGAAACCAAAATATAAAATTGAAACCAAATTACTATGGTAATTAACTATTAAAATCAAGCCGAAACCAAAATACAAGATCCAAACGAAAATATAAAACCGAAACCTAAATATAAAATCGAAACACAAGTATAAATCGAAATTTGGTGTAAATCGCCATTTCGGGCCCTTTCAACGTATCTATTTAGTATTATTTGTTTTTCACTAGCTTTTGGCTAGAGCTCCGGCCAGCCACCAAACCCAGAGCTCCTCTTTAATAGTACAAATTCAACCTCCATTTTTGTTCGTACATTGATTCATTCTTTATCTTTTATTACATGCTCTAGTAAAAGGCATGTCATCCTATAGTCCCTGGGAATTGCTGCAACACAGAAGCCATGCAGTTGTGCAGGCATTTAAAAAATGTGGAGCAACTCGCCAGCAAACTAGCAAACCGTCCTTGCATCTTGCTTGATGCCCATATTCTTGATTCTCCTCTTTCCTTCCTTCCTTCCTTCCTTTGTTCGTCTACATGGATTCATCTATGCACAGGAGGCAGCCTCCACACAATCCGGATCAGCTGCGCATTCGTCATCGGCGCAATCACAGGCTGCATCAGTACATGTCTCCCATTCAACCCATTGGTCCTCAGTCCAGGCATCGATGTCTTCGTCAGTAGCATCACCCCAGCACGCATCATAGCAGTCCTCATCATCAGTATCATCAGCATCGTCACCACTTTCACCTTCACCGTCTCCACTATCTCCACTGTCTCCACTGTCTCCACTTTCATCAAGTTTGCGAGTCTCCTGAAATTGAATATTCATGTATGGACGCATGAATGTGTGTGTGAGAGGCAGACAGTGGATGCGCAATAGCTAGTACAAAGCACAGCCAGCCAGCCAACCAAGTAGAAAAACAAAGAAGCAACATCAGCCTGCAGTGGACTCACATGCTTGTTCTTGTGCTGGTGGGAAGCAGGGGTACGAAGCGCCTGAAACATTCATGTATGTAAGATTGGATGGATGAGCTACAAGAGAGGACAAACAAGCAAGACAAAGAAGCAACAACAGCAATGAACTTACACGACCGGCTTCATCGTGGTGGGAAGCAGATGCCATGACAATCAAGACTGCAAGGAGCATGGAGAGGAACGAAATGCGCATCATCTTGGGGAGTTTTTGTTGTTGGAGTGAAGTTGAGGAGAAATATGACTTGACTTGGGTTGACTTTGGAACTGTTTGAAGTTAACTTTTAATTGTGAGCATATGGATAGCTTGGCTGTTGCGGTTTCTCCCGGGGAATCCACCCCTGGATCCCTCGATCTTGCTTGCCGGGTATTGTCGGGATCCCAGGTCGTTTATTGCCAGAGGATCGCAACATGTATAGCATCCGGCGTCTTGGCATGCAGATCTTCATGAGATCTTGCCTCAAGTATATCCGCGACTACGTACACCCCTGTCTCTTAGGGTTGAGGCTGACTAAAATGTTGACTGACGTCGTAGTAAAGGCTTCAAACACATGAAGTCTTTGTGTCATTCAAATTATTATGATAAGTGTTTTCAGATGCTCGGGGCAAGAATCACTTATTTAGCATCTCTTCTGAAGTTGTGATTTTCAAGTTTTCAAGTACCAAAGCAGCTGATGTTTAATACTCAATGAAGTTGGTGTGCATCGCAGTTATATAAAATTGACTATTCCAAAGTAACCCTTTAATTACCATAAACTGGCACACCGCCCAGCTTCATCTTTGCCTCATTCCTTCCAAACCACCACTGCAACGGTACCGGTACCCTTGTTGTAACCACCACAACAGCACAACTCCTGCATGCATCCATCCATCCATCCATCACCTCGAGAATAAGCCACCAGTGTCCCATCCCAACATGAATATCCTCAAGTAAGTGGATTGATTGAATTCACTCCGTCAGGTTGACAGATCTTTCTCATGCTCATTTTCTTCCCTGTACGCCGTATCGGTTCGGTATCGTAGGATTGCTGCTACCCACACCAAGGATATCTTAGGGTACGTGAATCATTTCAAGTTACAGTACCGTATAGCTGATACACAGTAGATGTGCAGATATGAATAGCTAACTTCTATTACTCTGATTACGGTATGATTAGTGAAACCCATGGAGCTGTGAAAAAGACGTTTTCCAGGTCCAAAGCGCACCGCTTGCGATCCACTAGCAGTGGTGGCAGCCATAGCCATAGCCCTAGTAACAAGAAGACTCCTCACTCCCGTCATGACCATCCATCGGACATGGACGTGTACTGCAGCGACACGTACTCGGACGACTTTATCTTGACGGAACTGAGCAAGGCCGAAAAGGACGTTTGGATTGTCAACATTACCTTTGAAGATTTGATCACCCGGGACAGTCCTGCCACCACAAAAGCCGTTCATGCATTTCTGACAAAAACGGCCCAAAGCAGCACTAAAAAGGGAGCCAACCACAAGCGTCATTGGGATACTATCACTTTTACCGATGTCATTTCCAATTCCATCGATTACGAAGCCTACCAGGATCGAAAGGAACAATTCCGAGACGAACTCATGCAGCTGCTCCAGAAATTCGGAATGGACTTGGTGCTACCCGTCAAGTTTGTCTGCAAAATTGAAATACATTCCTTTCTGCAGGTATACTCCATTCTCAAACTACTCAAGGAACTCGCACGCGATGCTGGTATCCTGCAAGTCGCATCTCCCAGTTTTACTGCTGACAAACCTACCGAAATTGGACACGAGTTTGCCACCCACGTCGACGGCGATGCGTTGGAATGGACCGGACAGCCCGTCGAATTTCACATTCGGTATCATTGCCAAGACATGAATGTCCCGGGAGCCACGTGTCCCAAGGCACTCGCAGCCGTCGAAGTGGATGGATACAATCCGGCGGCCGCCATGATTCATTACTCCGCGCTCGAAATGGAACGGATCCTGTCTCCCGATGGGGATGCCGATTGTTGAAACAGGGAGAAAGAGAAAAAATGCAGTCGACTGCATGCGTGGACGTACCGTACGTGTCTTGAAACCAGCAGAAACGTGGCGTCTAATTGAGCTTACGGGGCGACAATAGTTACGCGTTGTACGTACATGTACCTCCATCGAGAGAGTGGTGGCGAGATGATTTAAAAGTGCGCCATGGTGTGGGCTCAACGCTGTACGTAAGTGAGCTACGTAGTGCTAGTATATATATTGCAGGAAGAGGAATCGAGAACACGGTATATGATGACCTCGGAGGCTCCACAGATCCAGGTGCGGGTCGCGCGAGTCAAGTCCTTCTGTGCACTCGATCTTCCGATGATAATAAATCACGGAGCTAATGTTGACCGCTTTACACTTGGACTAGAGTTAGACGCCCCGCCCCGCCCTGCCCTTGCGAGCAACTAATGCAAAAAGAGCCGCTGGGCCCTTTTCCTCTACCACAAAACAGCAGCGTGGTGACGTGGGGTTTCATTGGAATCACCTCTGGAAGGATGTGCAACTGGACATGCTGCTTGGCAATCTCGAGCACTCTCTGAATACATAGCAAACAATGTCCCTTCGTGGGATTGTGCCGAGGTAATGTCTCGTCGTCGACACTACTGAAATGTTCAATCAAGAAATGGTCGCTGACCCAAAGCATACCGTACCGGTATTCTGATGGCAGGGGTTACCGACACAATCGTCTTTTTGTTTCCGTGAGCACTTCCAATGCTACTGTACTGGTATTAATAATTTTTAAAATAGTATTTTGTTTTCAAACTTTTTGAAAAAGAAAGGTTTCATTTCAAATTGAGTCCCACGAACACCTCATGCGAGATCGCGCGAGATCGCGCGAGATCGCGCGAGATCGCACGAGGTGCTCAATTTGAAATGAAACCCTCTTTTTCAAAAAAGTTTGAAAACAAAATACTATTTTTAAAATTAATGCTGGTCTTTATTTACAAAAGGCTTATTACTCTGTCTAGCTAGCTAGCTAGCTTAGTTAGTACCCTTTCTCTGGTAACCCTAATCCCTAATGCGTATTTCGGGTTCCCGTAGTAGATCTACACTCTACCGGTACCGGTATCTTTGTGATCTCCTTTTTCGATCAGACTTGCTTCTCTAATAACAGAAAACTAGTACCGATACAGCCAAAAACTAGTGGTACCGGTACAGCATGCGCACTTTCGGCATGATGTTTGCGAACGGGGTGTCTTTGGTGCATCTTATCTAAATCCATTTCATTCATTGAGTTAAATCCACGTCCATACATCGAGTTAAATCCACCTGCCCAATCGTAGTTGCTGGTACTCGTAAAAACAAACTGCAGTAAATGCAACAAAAGCATAGAAGAAAACAACTACTAGTATCTCCACTGCTAACTGCATCCTGCATCAAGAGCTATCAAGTCTATTCAATTCTCTCTGGTGGAGCACCTTCTTAAAATTCAGGAAGGTACATGAAAAGGGGAGCTCCATCAAGAGCAGACAGTGGAATGTAGAGTAGAGAAGTAGTCTAACTAGATCTACTGCTGTACAACTATTGTCTTTTTTTCGCCTCGTGATGAAGGCAACCACTCTATGCTGACTGTCATCTAGAGACTATGCATACCTGTACCGGGTACCGTGTTGGCTTCGGACTGTAGCCTAATAGCTACTAATAGCTAGTCTAAGTGAGAAAGGATGTGTGGGTATGATTCCCGTTTTATCTTGTGAGAAAGGCCTTCTCGCTCTATGTAATAAGATAATATAAGAGGAGCAATCTTATGAGCAAGTTTGGAGTTTATTGGATGTATCCAGAAACGTCAATTTTCCTCGTATGATACGGTACGGTACTCGAGGAGTATAGTTCCATATCCCCAATCCTCACAACCCACAACATGTTTCAGCCACCCGTAAATCTGTTGGCACGTGTGAAAAGAACACTGATAGCGAACTTCTGTTTGATGTTCCAACAATTCTTGACTTATGCCCAATCGCCAGAGAACTTTCCTGAGTAATCCCGTCCAGAAAGTATTCTTCTCCTCTAGAAAGTACTATTCTTCATGTCGGTTGCGCTCCGCCAAAAGACCTTCTGTTGCTGGTGCCTGTTGATCCGGTATTGAATAACCCAATCAAATAAATGGCAATCGAGACAGGGGGAAGATCTCGATTGTTGATCCATTTATTTAATGTGCCCCAATCCGAACCCTTTCTTCGAGCAGCTGCAACATGGTTGATGGTGTCTTTACTGCTTCTCGGATTTCGGAGGCAGCTGATGTTTGGGTGATGAGCGGATCGCCTCAAAAAAATTTAGGCCTGTTTACGTTTGGTTCTTGTATGCTAGCTACTACCTACCAGTAGCTAGTAGCAGCCTTGCTTCTACTAGCTAGCTAGTCTATTGAATTCCACAAAACATCACAAATCACAAAACGCAGCTGCTGCCTGGACACACTTGAAAACCAACTGGTTGCAAAGATACCGGACCCATCACTCACCTCACCTAGCACAATCTCATATTATCGGAATTTTCACATCCCAACCACTCTAACATATAATAACACAACTGTACCGTACCGTACCGTACCGACAACTAACTAAGATGCCCTTTATCTACTCTCCTTCCAAGCCGGCGGCTGAAACTACCACGGCAGAAGAAGCATCGGATGGTACCACTGCTACTAGTAGTACTAATGGTATCAAGACGTACACGACCGTGTCGTTTACTACAGCGGCTCCCATTATTTCCGCCGAAAGTGCCACTATTGCGTCTCATACTTTGACTACAACCGGTATTTCTCCATCTTCCTTGGTGGCCGAAGTGGCGCTCTCCGTGACGGGCGTGGTGCTGTTGGGTCTCATGATCATGCTCTGTGTGCAACGAGTGCAACGACGACGGCATGCTCGGGCATTCGCAGACGCACAGCAACAAGAAGAAGAACGCAAACGTCATCTTCGAACGCAAACCATTCAAGAGAAACTTCAACTCGTCGAGTGGACTTCTGCTGAAGCTACTGCTGCTGAAGAAGACTGTAATGCTAGTAGTACTGATAGTACTGATGATGAGGAGGAACCAGACTTGGAGGCGGGAGTTGTCATTGCAGAAGAAGAACAAGACGAACACGTGTGCTGCATTTGCATTGAAGCCTTTCAAGACAAGGAAATGGTCAGTATCTCCAACCATCCAGACTGCAAACACAAGTTCCACAAGCAATGCATTGAAAACTGGCTGCAACGACAAGAAGGTTGTCCTACATGCAGGCGACCGTATCTGGACGCCCACCTAGAAGAAGAAGAAAAGCCACAACCAGAGCCATCCGACACGGATAGCGATGATTCTACCACTACTACCACCACCAGTCAACACAATCAGTATCACCACGACCAGGACCAGGACATGCATGCTTAGAAGGTCTTCTAAAGATGCCCTTCATTCATACTTCCTCTGTGTCCTTGTTGATTCATTAGTATTATTCCTGTAACACAACTAACTTAGAAGAACGTGTACTACTCTACTTTTTATCAACCTGTACTTGGCTGCCTTTGTGGCTCTACTAGTACCGTACTAATAGCTATGACATACTAGCTAGCAAGGAACAAACGATACCGTACGGAGGTAGCAACCATAGATGGAGAGCAGAACAACAACTATAACAACTAACTGCGTCAAGCCATCGCCAAAGACAAAGACATACAACAATATCCCATGGCAGCTGCAGCCGACGGATGTCTTTGATCCAAACGCGGCAGCTGGTGGAGGACCGGAAGCTTGTGGGAAGGAAGGGCGGCGGCAGTCCACCCAAGACTGACTGCTGGTACCAGTATATGTACATGTATGTACTACCGTAGTATTAAAATACCCCATTGCAAAAGATTCATTTACCGCATCTACCGGACATTGAACTTGAGTCGACCCAGTACCAGTACTAAACAAGCCAGCTGGCTTGCTGGTATTCCTCACGCCAAAGATCGCCAGCTTGTGAGCAGTGGATGAGCCGCGAACCATGCAATGATTGTGGTGCCCTGCCCTCTCCCCGCTGCCTCTATTTACTCCTTATCCTCCCCTGTCTGTGCATCCTCCTTCTGTTGGGCTGCTGATTGGTTTTCATTGCCGGCCCGCTTGACCTCAGTGAGCAGAGGTTGATGAACATTGTGGGCTGTCCGTGCTGTGAAAGCTAGGCCCCACCACGTCCGGGTCACCCATGTAGAATGGGAATTGAAAGTGTGATTAGCTTACTAGCTACATGTAGTTTGGAGATGTGAGATAAGGGAAGAGATCTATCATTTTAGACTTCGAAGTAACCGATCCAAAGGCAGGTTCGGCATTGGTTGGCCGGCAAACAGCACCTAGCTTTTGCATGATGAAGGAACGCGGTATAGTCTATTCTTTAGGGCGACCAATTCTCGCCATAATTTCTGAACATTTCGTTCATGAAACGACATGCCGCGATCTTGACAGACTTATTGGAATGATTGTTCCAGTGCCTCTGCATAGTTGTGGAAACAGCCGCCACAGCGGACTTTTCCACCATCGCATGATCATACTTATCTTCGTCGTAGATGATTCCAGAAAACAGTTTGCATCCGAATTCTTGCACGGACATGTTGTCGGGCCACCGCTTCATGCCCTTGACCGCTATGGGAATACCATCAATGTCTTGGACGTAGCTTCTCACGGCATCCACCCGTTTCGGATTATCGACTTTCATACTATTGAAACAAAAGTACATGACTGAAATACCAAACTGTTGAATACCTTCATTATCGGGAAATTTCTTCATGGCGTCCGCTACGGCTGTCGGTCCTCCCGCATTGATAAACAGCTTTGCTGCCTCCTCATTTTTGGCGTTATCGAAAAACAAGTCATCGAACAAATTGATTGCCCAGTACAGAACTGTTTGGTTATCCTTCCATTTGTTCAGTAGACCCACTGTAATTGCCCTCAACGGACTGAGGGTCTTTCACACTTTTATCGCTGTATGTGTGTGTGTGTGTGTGTGTGTGTGTGTGTGTGTGTGTGTTTGTGTGTTTGTTGCAGCTGTTTTGGTCACATAGGGGACACTTTCCTCATTAAGGATAGGGATTAATATTGTGTGTTCAGCTGGACACAGTAGTTTCAACATATGGGTACCAGTTCTGGCTGGCTATGCAGACTCACTAGTGTGTCCAGATAAACACGGTGTAAGTTTTGCCAAAGACATAAGGGACATTTTCCTTGTTAAGGATAGGGATTGATATTGTGTGTTCTGTTGGACACAGTACTTTGGACCCTTACTGACTGGCTGGCTATGGAGACTTGCTAGTGTGTCCAGTTGAACACGGTAAAGGATTTGACCAAAGATGTTAAGGATTCGATTGGGGAATCCAATCAAATCTCTTTTTGACAGTTGAGGGCATCAGCCTCCGGCTGCTTGTTCTTCCTACTAAACCCAGCTCGTTGGCTTCCTCGCGGTTTTTCTTGTTGTCCTCATCAGCGCCCTGACGCCAACATGTCAAGTTGTTCAGAGTTTTCAAGGAATCAAGCACTGCATCAGCGTCTGGATTTTGCAGCTCCACGAAAATAATGTTGGAAAGGTTTGGCATGATTGTCGAAAAGATATTAATAGATACGGTAGTAGAATTGTGTGTTTGTTTGTTGCCCTTCCGAAACCACGGAGTGTTTTGAAATGTGCTTTCGATTTATTTTGTGGTCACAGTTCCCAAGATCCATGGAACAGATCCAAGACTCGAAAAGAACAAAAGTGAGGAATCGAGTCGGGGCTGCTCGAGCACGCAGGCGCCCATGCACCCTTTTCTAAGAATGAAGCAAAGCCCTGCTGCTCACGCCTGCCGACACGTATTATTTTACAGCTTTTGGCATCCGGGTACCATTCGTGTCCTCGTGGATGTTGGGTCCCCTGGTCCCTGGTCGTCGAGACCGTGGTGGCATCTCTGCTGAGAAGGCCCTATCTCTGCGGGAAAGGCAGAAGAATACAAGGTACCAGGCTCAATTCACTGCACAATGCAGACACTTCACCCCTTTGTTGTTTCTGCTGGTGGCCTCTTTGCTGCCCAAGCTACTCCTGTTCTCCAACGGCTCTCCCAGCTTTTGCATGGCTCATAGGTGGTCCAAGCCCTACTATGTGGTTCGCTCTTTCATCTCTGCCAGGTTGAGCATAGCCCTTGCTTGTGCTTATGCAGCTCTCGTCATCGTTCAGTAATTGTGCTGTGGGTTTCAAAGCTCTTTTTGAATCAGCGAAGACAGGGCCGACCAAGGTGTGGGAAGGTTGGTAGGCTACCGGTATATGGTAGCCGGAGGAACACCCCAGGAAAAGTGCACTCTGGTCTATGCGTGTGGCCTGCTGCCAGACTCTGAGGCATCCAACCTCCCATGTGTTGCTCCCTTCGAAACAGTATCTCTTTCACGATTCCCCATACCAACTCTAAGGACCACCAAAGAAGAGACGGGATGGTTGGTCGATACAGCCTCATTCTTCTTGGATTACCTTTCACTCTCATGCTCTTGCAGGAATTCATCGACGCATTGGAAGTCCGTTCGACTCCGGCCAAGTTTCTCAGTTCCTCGCCTATCCCACATTCCTTCAGAAGGCTGTTTGTAAGACTGAGATGGCGCATCACTTCCTGCCTTTCTTGGTAAAGGAGGATGTGGCTTTGGTCTATGCCATGCAATACAAGAAGCGTCTTTCCATGCACAAGTACCTCGACAAAGAGGTCGACATGATGGATTTTGATGACACGGATGACAATGATGATGATATCTGAGACAATCTAGGACGACGAGGATGGAGGTGAAGAAACGCCTGGTTAGACCGTGGGGTGAGAAACTCCCACTGGAGAGTCTATCAAAGATAACCTTTTCCAAGGTAACACAGTGCATCCCGGTGTGCTCCTGTTGATCCCAGTGCCGGTCAGGAAGATTTTGACAGCGAGGAAGAGAATAACCACTTGCAGGATTTTATGTCACAGCTGTCACTCCTGTTTGCTTTCATTGTTTCCTTTCTGTATGCCCTTAATTTAAATGCCATTGTCTGATGGCCTTTATACACGTAGTGTCGCATATGCAGTATTCAGTAGACTGGAGATGTACACAGGGTTTGGGTCTTGGGTCCGCACGTTGCTGTGCTATGGCGTACGATGGGTTGTTTATAATGCGCACTGTTTCTACACGGGAATTCGTAGCCACTGCAGGGGACGACCAAGGTCAGGCCAGTTCCGTGGCCGTCGATTGTCTTGTATAAACCATGCACCAAGCAACAACCGTGAAAACTGAAAAGGAGTTTGGATCATGTCAGCTCTGGTGGTCCATGTGGCTGGCTTCTCGCCTCGTTCTGTACTCTGTACAGTTCACAGGCTTGTGTCCAGGGCGGGACTTCCTTCACTGCTGCTCCAGTTTTCAAGAGTTTGACAGAACAGACAGGCTTTTTGTGACTTTGAGCAGAATGAAGCCACACTGGGCCAATCTTTACAAGATGCTGCGGGCAACGACCATGATGAACCGGAAGTTCAAGTCTTCCAAGCAAAATCAAACAGGATGAAATGGACCATGGAAAACCCTTTTTAAAAAACTCAATGGCTTTCTGAAGTCATTGCAACGAGAGGCAACCTGCCATCAAGTTCCAACTATCGGATATGGCCTGTGAGTGCACATGGCCGAATGCGATGGTAAGGGGTTTCCAAACAAGACCAGCCAACTTGCGTCATTCGAGGTCAAGGCAACAGATGCGGCGATTCCCAGTGAGATTGAGTTCCTGGCAAAACTGAATTCCTTGGGCTTGCATGCACAACAACCAGGGGGTCAAACATACATACTCCGGAGTACATATTTCCTTGGCTGGCTGGCTGATGTGCTTCTCAAACATGAGCTATACAGACGAAAGAATCGTGATTGTACGTCTTTCAGAGCTAAACTGAGCATAACTGCCAAGTTGGTAATGCAATCTGTGCAGGCCTCTGCAGAGGACCAGCTACTTACTTGCAGCTTGCTACCCTAGTATCTATAGCAAGCTGGTCGATCGATAAGTCGAATCGAGTATGCCTCGTGGAAAGTTTGTTCTCGGCCATGTCAACCAAAATGGCACCACGTGACCAATTGCGGTAGAGAGATACCATTACACACCAAGATGTCGAGTGTCACTTTGACGAAGTGCGACGACGATGGAAAAACTATCTCCTCCTTCTTGTCAGATGTCTTGCTCGTGGTGTTATGGATTGGTGCCAGAATCACGATGAAAAGCTGTAGGACTACCTGACCTTGGAATATAAGGCATCCCCTTTCGTCTTTATCTCTTGGATGTTTGCAAATTCCTGCATGGGAATACATAAGTCTTGAACGTCTGGGTATTGAACAACGAAAACGAGACATTCATGACGACGGCGTACGTGTAGTCGCACCAGCTATAAGAAGAACCGATGTCAACCAATAATCTGCTTCCTCCGTGATGCCCCATGTAAGTCCAAGGGAGGATCACGACAGGTGGTACTGGTACTGTACAAAGGATGCTCTCGTTGGGAGACGAATGCCTCGGTACGGGGAAGACTCATGAAGTCTCTTGTAAAGGAGCTGGTAGGTGGAAATCAGCCCGGCCTAGCCCATCCAGCAAGTTTTGTTCGTAGTTAGGCGCAGTCGACGACGAACCAAAATTAATGAACACGTAAGCATGGTACCGGTGTCGTACTAACACTATTGATAGTAAGCTCTTGTCGCCAGATGTCATCAGGAGATGGGCCGAAGTTGGTGTATTCTCACGGATACTAGTACTCGAACCGAATCGAATCCCCTCGCCTGGCCTGGCCTGGCCTCACCTTTACCGTATGCCTGTCAATGGCAGCCACTCTTGAAATGAAAATCGGAGTCGCACACAGTTCGATGCCGCATCTTTGCTATCTTTGTATCTTTGTAGCATTTCCCATGTCTGCTGGTGTTACAAGGGAACTCCTCCTCAATCGCGATGACACGACGTAAGGAAGTCCTAAGTACTTTCAAGGTGGCACTAGCTAGCTAGGAGGGGCGTTTTGGATGCCTACAGGCTCCTCCACCAAGACAGCAAGAACCATTCCCACGGCAATCAAACAGTCAAGGTGGCTGGATACCGATACCTGTGGACTGCTGGTGGTGATGATCATTCGAGCTGGCCCACGATCTCCGAGGTTCCACGGCGAGGACAAGATTATCTTACGTCGCCATTCGTGTAAAAAGGCTAAGTATGGGTAGTCCGAGTAAATATAGGGTTGAAGATATGAATTACCTTTTTGCTGGTAGATCTATATGTATTTGTAATTATGTTATTCGATTTACCCCACCTTACTGAACTAGCAGAGCCGCCAGCGAACCTCGGTGGCAATGTGATGCTTCCGCTCTCAGAGCAGCAAAAAAAGCTGGCCTCATGCAATGCATGGATGCGACTGCATGGTTGTCTCATGCCAACGGGGGTATACTTATTATTGGAGAGACAGTCTTAAACTTGTTAACGGTATTAGAAGCCACCCGATCCTGTTGTGAAAGCCTTAGTTAGAACTGTCACACAATAGAAGACTTCAGTTTCTATAGGAGACAAGCCCGCTGCACACGAGATTGTCACTCGATCGCTGTGCTTTTTGGCCTGATCCACACGTGCGGTCCAGTAGAAAATACAGATCACAATGACGCTTTCATCTGCAGAGAGGCCGAAATATGAGAGAGAAGTAGATGTGGACAGTGTATTCTTGGTTGAAGAAGATCTCAATGATGGCACGCCTAAAAGCAAATATATTGAGATCCCGCCGGGGAGTAGATCCCGATCATCCAACAATGTCACTTTCTCATCATCTGCCACCTCAAATGCTGGGACTTCTTCCATTTTGGAAAGTTTCACACCCAAGGATATCGAGGAGCTTGCGCAACTGCTAAAACCTGCCATAATTGGTCATACTGATACTGATGCTGATGATGACGACCATGATGAGATGGAATTTGATTTTGATTTGAAACCTGCGGCACAAAAGGAAGAAGCTGCCTTAATGTCCAGCATGTACATGTCCAAACGAGATATAGAGACGTTTTTCAATGAAAAGGAGAAGGAGGAGATAGAATGGCACAATCCCTATGGTGAAAGCACCTACTCTCTCTTTTACTTGTGTCCTGTCAACAGTTTTGCATTCTGGTATGCTGCATTTGTCTATTTCCTTCAGGTAAGTACTCGTGTTGCCCTAGCTTCATTCAATCACAACATGGATTGCTTCTAATCATCTTGACTCATTTCGTGTTATAAAAGATCACGACAATTTTGCTGACAATGATTGATGTCATCGACTGGGATGGCACTACTGGGCTCAACTTGCCCCCCATGGTCGATGTGAGTGTCACAATTGCTCAAGGAGTCGCGCTTTTCCAAGCCGTTGCTTTCCAATCAGACCTCATTGGGGCAGTCTCCAAGTACGTTATCTTCTTCTGCTATGTTGCCTCGAACCTAATTTTGATTCAGTCGATCTAAAAGGATGCCATATGCATGTATGTCTGCCCAACAAACAGATTCAAAGAAGGTTTTCACCACGAAGTACTGAAAGAGCATCCAGGCGCTACCTATGCCACTTGGTTTTTGTCCTGTACCGCTGAGCTCTTTGCGGGCTCTCTTCTGCTTGTGACAATCTTTGTATTGATTATGCAAGTTGACACAGTCTTGGATATTATGCTCAACTTTGCTGCACTTGAATTCATGGCCAACATTGACGATGTGGCGTTCTCCCTTGCCAAAACTGGTTTCATTGGGAACCGCCTTCAAGGGGCTGCCAATAATGTAGCAACCTTTCGAGTTCGAAAGAGACCAGCTTCAGATCAAGGATTTCTACAAAGATCTTGGAAGGCAGGGGTGTTCTTCCTTGTTCTTCTTATTTTGGTTGCTGGATGGGTGACTATTGTGGCCTTTAGAACTTCAGGCCAATACATGTGCAACACCATCATTGTGAATATGGGAGATGAATTTGTTCCCTCCCTAGGAACGTTCAACGGATTATACGATTTGGATTCCTCTGCAGGCTCGGGGCTGGAGTGGCGTGCGGAATATGTGGAGCGACGCTCTTTGGAGATTGATACTCCTGGTCGAGGTATCTTTGGCTACTGTAGTGACATCAAAGCTTGGACATTTCGAGTGGAATCAAGGGGCAGCAATGAGAAGGGAGACCCCTGTGACTGGATTGCCAGATCCTCTGAAACCGATGCTTATGATATCACAGAGGCAGTGGCAAGCCCATGGTTTGTCCGCGATGACTCATTTCGGGAGGTTGTGCTGGAGCCTTTCAGTGTCTTCTGCTTTGACTGCACCAAAGAGGATGCAGAAGGAAGCGATGACTGTGGTGGGAAGGGAACCTGCAGCAATGCTGTCTGTGACTGTGAAGATGGTTGGTACGGGCTCCGATGTGAGTTTGTCAGCCCCTGCCCTTGGATCACCATTGATGCTCGGACTGACAAGTTTGCCAGTACCAGGGATTGGGCAGACAATTTCCAATCGATTGACTTGGGGAATGGGGCATTGGTGGAAGCTCACCACCGACCAGTCTACATCCATGAATACAGTGATGGGGAATATGATGTTGTCATGTTCACTGGTGGTCGTTGGGCCTTGACATCATCCGTTTTCTTGCCACAAGCAGGAAGGATCCCTTCCAATGCTCTCACAGACAGTCAAGATGATGTTGGGAATGACATAGGAAACTATTTCAAGCACTCCTTTCATGGCTACAAAGGATTCTCCACGAACTTTTCTGTTGCTTTTCTCAGTGACTTTATGGAGATAGGGACAGATCGAGACTTGAGCTCCCCAGTTGGCTTTGCCTGGTACCACGCAATAGCCAAAGAGAGAACAACAAAAAATGAGAACCAAGGCATCGGAAATGAGATTTCTACTGAGTTTCTTTGTCGTCTCTGTGACGAATCTTCAAACCCGTGTCTTTATGATGGACAGTGCAATGCTGGGGAATGTGTTTGCTCCCTTGACTCCTTTGGGAGTCTATGTGAAATCCCTCCTGGTAAGTCATTGCTTCACTAGCCATGGGAGTCCATAACCTGTGATGCTCAGCTGCATTCTATTCCTTCAGTGCGAAATGGTCACTGTGACCCCTTTTTCAATTTACCTGAATTCAAAATGGATGGTGGTGATTGCTGTGAGTCCAGTTGCGCGAGCACATCCCAATATGTTTGTGGAGCTGAAGAGGATGGCTACGTCAGCACGGGATACTACTACTGTGAGCAACCAAAGAACAAGTGGCAAAGCAGTCTCTTGAATGGAGCTGCTGGCTCTTTCTCTGGTTATTCCATGGATCTTTCAATGGGGTCGATAGCTGTTTCTGAAATTCTCCAGGACCGCGTGCGCATCTATGACAAGGTTGGGTCCTCCTGGGTTCTCAGAGACACTATTATTGGGGATGCCGGCTCAAGATTTGGGGCAGGAGTACTGGGCCTCTCTTCTGGACCCTTCAATGTGGTCAGCAATCCAAGCTTCAAAGCTCCCCTTACTGTTGCTGTCCAGGATGCCTACCGACGTCTTCAAATCTACAAATGCAACTTTGAGGGTTGCACCCGTTCTCAAGAGTTCCCACTGGTTTTTGCATTTGCATTATCTAAAGATGGTACAGTTCTTGCAACGTCTTTGCTTGTTGCTGCTGGCGAGGCTCCCAATGTGATTCGAGTCTATGAGGCCCAAGAGGGATTATTTGAGTTCCGAGCAGACTTGAATGTTACAAGAAATGGTTCCCTGGCTGATGTCTCTTCCTTGTCATTGAGTGGCGATGGTAGCACGCTTGCTGTGCAGACACAGATGAAGGAATTCGATACAAACCTGGGCTTTAGTGTGGCTACAAATGAGTACATTGTTGTCATGGCATGGAGTCGAATTGTGGGTTCCTACAATATGGAGACTGAGATCCGATTTGAGTCTCAATTGAACACACTGGGCTATGAACTATCAGTGGCATTGAACCAAGACGGCACTGTTCTGGCTCATGGCTTCCCGAATTGCCAAGGTACTCAGCTTCATGTTCATGCACGAAACAATGATGGCAATTGGATTGCTCGGGCTGCCCCAGCAATGAACACTACTGGTTGCATTTACAACGAGCGCCCCGAGAAGAACAATGCCTTGTCTCTCTCAGGTGATGGAATTACGGTTGCCTTCAGGGTTGGTACCAAGGTTAGAGTTCTTGTTTGGGAATCCAAAACTGAATCCTGGGATGATGTTAGTGATCCTTTTCCTTCGACCCACTACCCAATTGCCTTGTCTTCTAATGGCAAGGAGCTGGCAATTGGTGCTCCTGAAGATGGCATTGGTGGAGTCACAGCGGTGTACTCACTGCCAGGAAGAAAGGAGTGCCCCGCTGGCATGTCTCTCCTACGGCTTTCACTGACCCTTGATAGGCTCCCCGGAGATGTTGTGTGGAATCTTGTTAACAACAGCACAGGGGAGATCCTGTTTGAGCAAGAATCTTACCCACAAGAATACACATTCGCAACTATCTTGGAGGAGACCTGTGTCCCAGCTGATTCTTGCTATGTCTTCACAATTTACAGCAACGACAACCGTGGCTTGCTCGCCCCTGGACAGTATGCAATTTTTATGGATGGGGTGAATGTAGCTCAGGGGACGTTTAGTGGTCTTTTTGGCAGAGAGGAGTTTGGAAGCTGTGCCTCTTGCCCAGAAGGTACAGAGCTGTTTAGCATGATGATGTTGACATGCGGGCCCATGGAGTTGGTCCTGTTGAAGGTGATTAATCAAGGAGAAAGTGGCATCGCACTCCATGCAGATAGCACACTTGACGGGGATTACGATGGAACTGTGTATGAGACTTGTAATGAACACCACATGAGTGTTGACTGTGCGGCTCCTTTCTTTTCAATTTCCTACAGTGGTTGTTTGGACACCACAGAATGCTACGGGGTGCAGGTGAAGTCACAATTCAAGCACACTGCATACCTTGAGCTTGTACTTGGGAAGCAGAGAGTCAATGCAAGACCAAATGCGGTTTGTGGTGGGGAGACTTTTTTTGTTGGTCAGAAGGACAAGTGCCTGCAGGAAGATTGGTTGAATCGCAAGCTCCAAATGTTTGCCAACTAATGTGTGATTCCCCCATTGTTGGCAAGGCCTCTAATGCAGTCCCAAATGTGATTGCTTGGTGAAAGGTACAATGTATACATGAGCTTTACCTTGGCACCATTGAGCTCTGTAGCAAACCCGCATATGCAGAAAGTGCTTGCGGCAATGAAGGAGCCCGTAACTCTTGGCTCTCTCCGCTGGAAACACAGAGTCTCAATACTGGGGATTTTGTCACGGCTCTGTTTCGAGGACAATGCAGTTGCAAACAGGGACGAGTGTATACGTGTACCTTGCAATGAATTGAGGACAATGCAAACCTGCGCTTTGTGAGATCGTGAGTCTCTGATTCGGAAACAAAGGCATCGAAGCAAGGACGGATAGAAACGTTCCAGCTTGTCCACTCTGAGTCGCAGTCTATGGTGAACCTCTCTCGTGCGTCTATGGTGGGCGGAGGTGGTGGTTGCAAGAATGGAGGAAGGCTCTTTTCTACAATGCCAAACGTGTCAAGCTCAATCGTTCCTTCCTGTTTTTCGGTTCAGATGTGGTTCGAAGGATGAACTCGTGACCTCGTGACCGACGACAGGTTAATCATGGTATCCAAGACAGTAACCTTGGGCAAGCGGCCGGCATGAGCAATCGTGTCATCGATGACACTTTGAGCGATATGAATGATTCAATCTACCGCTAGCGGCAACATATTCTACGACCACTTGTCCTCTATTTCATCACCTGCTGCGAAAGGAGGTGAGTAGGATCCTTCCAGTTCATCTCGCACTCCAACGATGTGGGCTGGACAGTCCATTGAAGAACGGATACTCAAATTGACAAGGCAACTTGCTGAGAAACAATTGAGACAATTTCAAGTTGGGCATCAACCAAATATTGGCGCTCGGAGTGGTGCCCCCGCCCAACGACAAGGAAACCCATCTAGATACTGACAACGGCCCTGGCCGAGAACAACAACAAAGCTCACGTCAGATTTCAGGATTGCTGGTCCACACCACGCATAGGGAACAACATCAAATCCGACGGCTGACGATCTCTCTGTTCTTACACGTCACCGACTACTATCGGGCTTGCACGCAGACGGAATCACCTTATACGAAGATCCAGGCGGTCGCACGAGCTTAGACCTGTTTGAACAGAGCACAAGGTTTCGACTTCAAAAAGGAAGAATCACCTTATACGAAGATCCAGGCGGTCGCACGAGCTTAGACCTGTTTGAACAGAGCACAAGGTTTCGACTTCAAAAAGGAAGGGCGTCGGAACTTGTTGGCAGCGTTGCCATACCGAAGCAACGACTTGGTCTTGCGTCTGGTGGAATTGGAGGTTGGATCCACGACAACAAGACCTGAGCAACGCTCTGGCTAACAGGCATAAGCCCTTCGGTTCCGTAAGAGAAGATCTTGGAATGAAAGGACAAGTCAAGCAATCTCAGCCTTTAACTAGCTAGGAATCCAAAGTTCACCATGGCTTTTGCCACCACAGCCCTCAGGTCGAGCGAATCCGCTCCAGTGAGCTATGCTTGCTTCACCAAAGATTCTGTTTTGATCGATTCTGGGACGCAGACGGCAGCTTGGGTGTTGAAGTGAGCAGGTGTTTGCTACCCATTAATAGCGGGCCCGCACGAAGTCTATGCTGGAATCCACCGCAAGAATATCCATGCGGCTGTTTCCTCATGGTACCGTGGCTAGCGAGAGGACTCGACAAAACGCCGCATCGAAGGCAAAGCCAGTTATACTGTGATTATAGTGGCATGTAAAGGGCCATGACGATTGACTAGCTTGGCCATCCAGCTCGTGCACCTACCTCCGGCAAGCCTCCAAGATCCACCGGTGCAAAGAACAGTACCGCAGCCTTCCTTCGGTGATCGGGTATTTTTTGTGACCTCCACATCAGGTAATAGGTTGCTGCGTTGTCGGCAGCCAATGGTGCTGCTCACTTACTTGATGGGAATGCCAATAAAGGTGAGGACTACAGTAACGAATCCAATGCACCCAGCGGGGGACTCAGCTGCGTTTTACCAAGGGATCCTTTGAACAACGGCAAGCAAACTGGCTATCGCTCATCAGTGATGTGAGCCGATCTTGTACGCTCTCTTCACATGATTAGCCAGCGAGGACATCATAGCCGAACAGCTCGATGCGCTACAGTCACTTCGTGCAAACTGTGGAAAATGACTGAGTTGGTTGCCAAGCCATTCATCTACAGGAGGCAAGGAAATCCAGCATCCTTCGATTCGATTGTTCCACGTCTGTGCAATGACCTCTCCCCTGGATCCAATGCGAAACACGGGCGATGCCCCTGGGTTCAATCGACGTTGGGCTTGACTACCTCCTACAAGAACTCCGATGGGCGGAAAATCTTATCAGTCCGGGGAAGCCTTCACTGAGAATTGTGAATGAACATTCTTCTGGCTGCTGGCCAGCTGACCTCTGGGCGTCGAGGCTCCTTCCTCCTTCGTCCCTTTAGGGCGGACGCTTCAGGAAGCAAGGAAACAGGCTTTGCCCACCGGTAAAGAATGCAGTCCAAGCAAAGCACTCCCGTCGATCGAGCTACGCTACATGAGCCACGGTAGAGGGGGGAGACATCCACGGTGCATGTGTTATCTAGAGGCTAACCGTACAAGCTAGGCTTCCGGGGTTGGCTTTGTCGTCGCGGCAGGATAAATAGTTGTAAGGATTTCGCATTAGCGTGTTTGCTTGCCCCAAGCAGAACAGAATGGTTGATCGCAAGGTTCTCCTGGAGTGAAGCGTTGTTCCTCCACTGGAGATGAATTCAGCCATTGGCATCAGTACTGTACTAAGTAGTATTCCCTCATCACAATCAAACAAAGTGCGAATAGTAAATAGTATAGCTAACGTGGAGAAATGGCTATAACTGGCAATGTCTGTGCAATGATTTTGCTTCCTTGGGGATTGGAGAGAAAACAAAAAATAAATACATGAAGTACTTAACCAGGTTCAATCAAGAGCTACCTGAAGCTAGCTTCGCAAAGAAGTGTCTAGCCAGATGTACCGGTACTAATCGTCCGGAAGCATGTATCGTACGCTTTCGTGCACTCCCCCAGAAAAATTTAGACTTTCTTCCACAATTCTGCGAGGGTTGTCGAACGTGAGTCGACACTAGCAGCATCGGAGAAATAGTGAAGTGCCCAGCAATGCGAGTAATGAGCAATGAACGGAAGACCATCTCCCTCGTTCTACTCATACGGTACAGAACGCTCTGAGAGCTACTACTACGGTACCGGCTAGCGACTACCGGTACTCCGAGTAGCTAGGTACTTGAGCAGAAGCTTTAGCCGTGAGATGACATTGGGAAGAGAGAGCTTCGATGGTCAATCTACAGGGTACCGGTACAGGAGCTGTTTGTAAGTACGGGACGAAGAAGCTGGAGGTTGGAGGTACCGCCGGTTGCATTGGGCAAAACCTCAAAAAATGAGGGTGGAATGGTCAACCGCTCAGAGGCAGGAGGGTTTTTCTCTGATGTTCTTATTACCAGGTCTACGACTGGGCAGCTTGTGATAATAGATACTGTACTAGCTAGTAAAAGAGCTGTGAGAGAGCTGTGATGCTGTGATAGTCTACCAGTAGTCTACCTACTAGAGCTAGCTTGGTGATTCAGTATTCAGTGCTGTGACCCGTGATGTACCGTACATGTAGTGATCACAGGATCGCCCGTGCATGTTTCTACTAAATGTAGTTTTTACTGGTGGTACCAGTAGAGGTGTTACCGCATGTGACTACCAGGTACCGGTATTAGAGTTGCTGGTAACCATGTGCCAATAAATTGGTAATAACGATTGGAGAACTTCTCTTCTTTTAACCGAATATCTTATGCCAAGTACATTACTCTACAGAAAACGCCGTTGACTAGACACAATTTGTTCACTTTTGATCGTACCGAAGGATATCAGATTCTCCGGAGTCGATTCAGTACATGTAGACTACGAGAAATAAATAAATAATGGTCAGCGAATCATGCAAGATTTGCTCCAGCAGCAGGAAGAAGAGCACTGAAGAATAAATAATGCTGTGCGGAGCAATCCCCTTTCGACCGACGATTGGGTGGTCAAAATCAGAAGATTGTACTCTATCTCCTATAAGCTTGTGCAACTCCAAATCAAAAGTTCTTAAATAATTACGGTAGCAAATCTTATCCTGGAGGTGTAGAACAGACAAAATTTGATATTTGTGAATCGGCAAAACAAGAAACAAGATTGACTGGAGGAGAAGTAAGTCGCCAAGCTGGTGGAAAGCTAAGCACGGTGTAATTGCCTGGTTTTGGGGAAGCATGGAAGAGTGTTCGGATCAGTTCCGGATGCACAGGCTACATGCGTAGGCCTTCAGCGAGCGACTTGGATAACCCCGCATGCACAGCAGCGCTGGTCTCGGCAAGATCCAAGTTGCTGCATACGAGAAGTTGCTCACAATTTCACAAGAGTAAGAATCGAATCGAAAACACAGAACAACCAGCAAAAGCTCATTTTTCTTTCCAACCACCAACACCACTTTCATAATACTACTAACAACCCAACAAAACAAAAACTAATAATCATGTCCTGCTCTACTACCACTGCTACCAACAACACTCGCAAGGTCCACTTTGCTCTGAATAACAATCAAGTACACAACGTGGAACGACTGGTCGCCAGTACGGATAGCGAAGCCTTGCTGGAACTGTACTATCAACCGCAAGACTACCTCCAGTTTCGTGCCGATTTCAATGTCTACAAAGCCAAGAAACAACAGCGCCGCCGCAGCAGCAAACTGCAACGGCTAATGGTGACCAAAGTGGGTGGAGGAATCTCAGCACACCACACTACTCCCACTATCCTCTCGGCACCACTGCAACCTTCTCAAATACAAAAGTCCATGGCAGACCGGGGATGTGCTCGCATGGCATAATACTGTAATGATAACAACTTTCATTTCATCAAACAATCAAACAAACAAACAAAAGCTAATAATGGGATGCATTGAACTGCTTTCAATCCATCACTCATCAATTCATAATAATAAGTAAATTAGATCATCAGAACCAAAACTGCACAACCTGTCTAGTAGCTAGACTTACTACTAAAGCATACTTCTAGCCGATACTAGCTAGAGTAAAAGGATTTTTGATCAGTGTGAACGCTTTCTCGGTTGGATCCAGCCAATGTTCCTAAGGCCAACAGAGGTACGGTACGTGTACCGGTGGACGCGCAAGACTCGACTCTGGCTGACTCCAGCCATGCACCACCGCTGCAGGACGAGACCTGGCTGCCATTCCATTGACCTGCCCCTTTCACGGTACAGTACCTGCCATTCACGCAGGTTATTGAAAATAGAGGACTGAGCATCCTTCTCATTGGCTTGTACCGGTCAAGGTATCTTTTACTTCTGGGACACGCTTCGGGTATTGGCTGTGCCAAATCTGCGCTGCATGCCTGCATGCTGAGCCACCCGTGATTGATTCATCATTCGATTCCCGTACCGTTTCCGACGTTGTGGTTCCGGCGAGAATGCAGATTGAATCAGAATCGAATCATTCGATTCACAACATGTTTGTCACAGTAGAGATAATGACAATAGAGAGGACTGCTGGTGATGGCCGAAAGGATTAGATTCGCCATGGACGGCATGGACAATTCTCAGGATGATGTGAGACTTGAAATAGGTTCGATTTGAATGAATGAATGAATCATCTCGTGTGACTTCGGACTAGCTAGACAAGCCTTCCGTAGTAAAAGAAATGAGGGATACCCTGTCCTTGCCCCCATTGGTTGAAAATGAATCGAATCGAGTCTGTACCCCAACCAGAAGAGTTTTGGATGCAAAAAAGAAGATACACTTTGCGTTTTTGAAATGCCCATACCCCTTCTTTTTCTATTCAAGAACGCCTCTGACAGCTTATGATATGGGTGCCAGTCTGGTTGAGTTGCGCTATGTTGTGGCAACTAGCTTGGTTCCATAGCTACCAGTACATTCTACCTGTGCGTCGCACCGTGTGCTCGTGAGCTGCACTTGTGCACTGGCTTATTCAAGACTGAGTGGTCATTAAATTTGTCAATTCGAGTGGACTGAGTCAGTCAAGTCACTCAATACAGTACTGAGTACGTACCGTATGTCCCAGACTACAAAAAGATTTAATTACTAAAACTAAGTAATGCCATCCATTAATTAAAGTTCATAGCATCTTTGACGAAATGACGAGCAATTTGAGTCGAGTGACAGTCACGGTGTCACCGTTTCTCACCGGTAGGCCACGCGCATGCATGCAGCTTCTTATTGCAAGGCTGCAAGAACTAAACCCCTCCGGCATGCAAACAACCTTTGATCACTGGCTCTAAATAGAATTCTATTTTAAGGCTACTCTGAGTACGACTATCCACCGTGCCGCTACCCTAAACCGATAACCCCCACAAACATTGGGGCGGAGAGAGTTGGCCCCCTCAGCCGGGAAAGTTTAAACCCAACCGAGGCAAGATATTAAGGGGAAGGTCACCAACCGGACCCGCCGTGCTGCTGCTGTCATCAGCACTGCTACTAGCTGCACTATTGCTGATAGTGTCAACACTGCTGTCAATCTAAATCAAGGTCAGACCGAAAGCCTGATCCAAAGTGCTGCTGCCTCATGGAAGGCTGCGGCCAGTTGTTGCTGCTCTCTACTTGCTTTGTCCACCACTGGCATCCAATTTGAAAGCAGGCTTTGATATCGGATGTGCCATTTCCATTTGGTCCCCTAGTGGCCTTTTGAAAATGGAGTGACAAGAGACAGTGGCACTGGTCTGCCTGCTCATACAGAAGCTCTACTTCCCGTTGAAGCTGTTGCTGCTTCTTGATCCACTGCTGCTGTTTATCACGTCCGTGCCTGGCTGCATTGCGGCATCCCACAGTAGAAACCATTGTTGGAGTAAGAGATGAGCAAGTTGGTAGTCCATATGGTCCGTTTTTCTTGGATGTATGCTTTGAACATGATGGAGATAGTCTCCCTGGTGCTTGGTCCACAATTTGGAGAGTCGGCCCTTGAGGAAGTTGTTCACCCAATGTGGTTCTGGTCGATGACAGTTGATCATACCTTTCTGGGAACTCAGATGGGTAAAGATGCTTGCTGCGAAGAAGCACTCGAGCCCTTGCAAAGCAATGGCTAACAGGGTGGATCAGTATCACATTTGCGCAGTTGTTTCTGACAGCCTGCTGCATGGTTGTCCTCCACAGTGTTGGATCTTCATGATGCACAGGTAGAGATGGGCTGCTGTTTCATTGTCGCCACCACAGTGTGGGCACCGATGATCGTACTTGGCATCATACTTGTGGACCCTTTTGCCCACTGGAAGAATGTCAAACAAAAGCTTCACCAGTGTTGTTTTTCTGTCTCGTGCCTGTTGACTGCCCTGCCATGGCTGTCCAATCAATCAGATCTGGAGTGGTATCATCCCATTGAGTGTTTGTTCTGGACCATGTTCTGCAGCACTGCGGGATCATTGCGTAGGTCCCTCAGGGTGCGTGGCACCTTGTATGTGCAGGTCCCGCCGGGAAGATGCAACTGTGCCAGGTTCACGGGGAACCGAAGCACCACTGTGCAAACAACCTTTGATCACTGGCTACCGCAGCTTGATCAGTTTGATACTTTCATCCTCCCAGCCATGGCCTCGAACGAATCCCGAAGTGACAACAGCAACCACGACGTCCCACTTGCTGTCGCTGCTGCCGTAGGAGAGACAACAGGGATCGTGGAAAATCACCAGGATGAGCACCAGGAATCCTACGCGGTACTAGGAGTTGATGAGCCAAGTTCTGTGGCCACAACCAGCCCAGTGTTGGACCCTTCCCTGTTCCATCTTTCCCCTAATGAAAAGGAGTTGGCACTGGAGATACGAGAAACCATTCAGGGTCTGCCGGATGTTGATAATGTAAGCGATTTCATGGCAGCCCACTTGGCCATTGCCTGCAAGGGAGACATGACATGGGCTATGGATCGGGTCTACAAAATGCGAGACATTAGAAAGGAGTACAAGATTGCCCTGACATATCCAGAAGGTGCCAAGACCATTCAAGACATGTTTGCACTGGCACCCGATCTGCTGCTGTCCTACCAGTACAACCTTCACACTGGAGATGTCGTTTTGGTAATGGACATGACCAGCCAATATGCCAAGGAGGCATTCTCAAATCCAAAAAGTATGAATATAGTTGGAAGAGGGGTCCATTACTTGTGCCACGCAATGTTTCCCTGCTTTGAGGCCGTGCGAGTGGGAAATGTTCACATTTTGGAGTGTGAAGGATTTGATTGGGGAAAGGGCATGGTGGATGTGGCTCAATTTGGAAAACTCACCAATATTTCTCATGGAGCATTCCCTTCCGTGCTGAGGACCAAGTTTTTCAATACCCCCACTGTGGTAAGTACCATACTGCTGGTTGCTGCTGAAGCCAACAATACAAAACGCTTGTCCCAGAAATCAAAAGTCTCATGCTTGTTGCTGCCTTCTTTTTCTTTGTTTTTCTTTACCCAGCTAAATGTTTTGGTATCCATGTGCAAACGGTACATTCCCAAGGAGATTAGCTCACAATTTGAGCTTGGCTGCACATTTGTTGGCGGCAGGCTTGATAAGTTCTATCGGGTACCCAACAGGGAAGTTGCTTTGAAAAGAGCCGTGGACATGCTTTGCGAGTCCCTCCAAATTCGTATGGAAAGTGAGAAAGTGTTCTCTTTGGATGATGATTGACATGTGGGGACATTGCAACGTACCTACAGTACGTCCAGGGAGATTCGAATTCGAGTTCTAGTATATAGGATGGATGGATGGCCACGAGGAGAGCAGCAAAATCTGTAGCTAGCTAGTTTCGCAACAAAAACGTCCTACTGGCAGTGCTGGAGCTAGCCCTTGTGGAGGGTCCAGTGCTGGAACAAGTCCAGTTCTGGGGCTAACCATTCGTGCTGGGGACTACAGTACGGAGGCCGACCTGGTACGGTAACCAGAGAGAGAGAGAGTTTGAGAGAGAGAGAGTTTGAGAGAGTCACCAAGAGAGACAAGAAGCGAGCGGCATCAAGACTCATACGGCGCAGGGGCTATGAAAGAAGCACACCACGTTTTTTTGCGTGTATGGCTACCGGTATGCCTGCATTATGCATTGTCGGGTCGGCTGATGTGCGACTTGCTGGTGGGAGCCGCATCGAAATCATCCCCGTGTCGTCACTTTAGTTGCTGTGTTTCCATCTCCCTTTGGTCGTCCATCCCTACCGTATGCCGCTGCCAACCCTACCGGTTCTACCACGGCAGCCGTACCACAGCAAAGGCCATTGTGTCGGATTTTCGTTCGTTCGTTCGTTGTCGTTGCTTGTTGAAGTCGCCACAAACGTCGTCAAGATTGTCAGTCAAGAGTTTGTGGGAGTTGGGTATTGTGTACCGGTACATTCAGTATACGGGTTAGAGCGGACTATCATATGGGGAGGATGCACACGTTCTGGCAGCAGACTTACCTCGTACCAGTAGCAATAGTAGCAATCGATCCGGGTTCTGTCTATTTTTGGCTTAGCAGACTACTCATCTCATAATAGATACATACGGTGATAGCTAGAGCTATCATAGCATCACATCGATCGATTGATCATGGCACAGCATGACGGCATATTGTCGGTCAACGTTTGAGACAACGCAGACGAGGGCTAGCTAGAGGGGTCGTTTGGACAGCTGTTTCAACCACCTCTGCGAAACCGTTCCGCGGAATGTTTTAGATGGAGGACCGTAAACAAGACACTACCAGTACTATCATACCGGTGCATCATGTACTCTGGAGTATCATAGTAGCCACAGTGTACCTGGTACTGGTACCCGTGATTTCACACACGCATGCGCACGTCATTCCAGTCACCAAGGATGTCGATGGGAACTGTATTAATTAATAGAAGCACGATGGAATTAAGAGTAACGCAAAATCATTGAATGTCAGGTCGGAGAATGCCAGGAAGTTTCTCCAATTAATTGAGACCTAAGTGGCGGCATCTCGGTATTTTAAATCCTGTGGTACCTGAAGTTCATTCAGCCAGTTTCTCCGTTCGTGCCAGTTCGCACAAAAAGTCATTTCTGTCTCTCCTTTAATCCACTTTCGTTCCAGAGTTCGCACCAATACTGGAGTAGTCATTTGCTACATGTACCAGTAAACTCTGTTTCTCCAATCGAGTGACTCAGTCGCCCTTCTGCCAGTTCGCAGTGCAAATTCGATCCCCCCGGCCGTCGACACGATGCCACACTTTCGTCACGCCTCCATGCACGCACCAATCGAAGCTATATTGTACCTTAATTGTCATCAGTGCAACGATCGTCTGCTGCATTACACCACCACAAGCTATCTCTTTTTTGCGCTTCCAGTGAGCCGCCACAAGTCATTTCGCTCTCTCGTTTGCTTACCGGTGCTCGCATCATTCTATAATCGAGGATATCCAATCTCCACACTGATCGGCAAAAGCCAAACCAACGAAAGCCTGCTACGAACAAAAATCCACCCAATCGTTAGGATACCAATCTCAACCGATTAATCAATCAATTAACTAAGATTCTTCAAAGGAGGAACGATAGATGAACGCGGTGGAGGAAGAAGAGATTGCCGTATTCGGTCCGGATTCTGCTCCTCCCCCTTCCTTGAGGGATGCTCCTGCTGATCCTTTTCGGTCTGAATTGTTGCTATCCACACACACCAGGACCGCTTTGACTGATCCTGAGACTATGGAATTGACAAGGATGGAATATGGCAACAAAGCACCAGTTAATCCCGACAGTGACGATGACAGTTCCATGGATGACCCATTGAACGAGATCGACCCCAAGAATACTAATGAGGCCGACATGAGCGAGTCTCCCAGCAACTTTGAATTCTCCTTTAACAGTGCTGATTTGGAACGAGATATTCGAAACGGTGCTATGCAGACCATTGCTTTTGACTATGTATACAGCAATGCCTACGACATTGTCTACAGCATCTGTACTTGGCCCAGGCTCCTCCTGAGCTATTGCTTGAATTTCTTTCGATTTACCAGAAAGAAGGATGACGATTCTGATGGACCAGTGCCACCCCAGGAGGATAATCGTGTTGAAAACATGTCGATTGCGGCTTCCCAATCAGCAGCTATTGGCATAGGAGCAGGAGTCATGGCTGGTCAGTCGGCTGCCGCCGGAGCCGGGACTTCGACACTGTCGGCTGCTGTCTCTTCTCTTTCAACACCTACCATAATTGGGCTTGCTCTGTCTGCGGCTATTGCAGTCACTGCTACTACAGCTGGAGTTGCCACAGGAATCCGCAACGGCAGTGACATCAATGCTGCACGTCCTGGTGGCTGCAATGAAAATATAGGATCCATGGATGTCAACCAAGGTGCCATGCAAATGGTCTTTTCTTCACCTTCATTGGAAGCTAACAGGGATCACAACACTACCATTGATGCTCCTTCCACAAGTGCACTGCTGCTGGAGAACAAGGAAGAATTGGAGAATATCTTTGCACAGGTTTACAACAACGTCACTGCTAATTCCACCAACGGTGCCCTCGTTGATCGATGTGATATTCCCCAAATCCCAACTGGTGGTGTTCAAATGATGCAGGTTGAGTCATCTGAAGTGAACAATTATACCAATACCCTCTGGGTTGCGGATGTTCTATGCAACGGATGCTCTGATAGAGATCCGCTTTTTGGAACCCACACCAATCCTGTTAGGGCTGTCGATGACTTTGTTGACCAGTTCATCCAGGCAATACAACCCATGCTTAAGACTGACAAGCCAAAACAAGACACCTTGCTGCAAGCAGAGCGAGAACAAGAAGAGTCACCGGTCGATATCCTGTTTGTGGCGCTAGTTGACCCTATCACAGAAGAGACACTACCAGATCAGACACATTGGCTAGGACCTGGTGAACTGATTGAGCTATTGCCAAACATTGATACAGTTTGGAGTAATAACCACAATGGCCATGAACAAGATCAACTGGGAGTTCCACCGGTGCCAACGACTTCAGCAAAAACATCGAACCCTACATCCGGCACTCAAACAAACACCCATGTACAGCAAGATGTAGCACCCAACTCTCCAGGAGTTGAGTCAACACCAACAGATCCTGCAGGTGCTGCGCCCACAAATGCCAAACTCCCAGAGCCAACTCCCACTCAAGCACCAGCAAGTACTCCTAAGCAGCAAACCCAAATATCCATTTCTCCTGCCCTAACAACATCAGATGTACCAGGTGCCAGCAATGGAAACATCATGCCTTCTTTTGTGGTTGTTTCACCCAGTCAGGCAGCAACGGGACCACCATCAATGGTTAGTCCAACTGTTGTTTCTGGCCCAACTAGTTCTGGTGCTACCAATGTCTTAAGCAGAAATCCCAGTAGCAACATCAACACATTTCCACCAGCAGCATTGAGTCCATCACGTTCCACAGCTAACACAAACCAAGCTCCAAGCAATGATGGCCAACAGCAAGCACCACAGCCTACTAATCAGTAAGACTCATTACCCCCCATTTCAGCAATAAAGAATCCTGAACCATCCTTTGTGATACCAGCACCACCATCATCTGGTGGCGGATACAACGGCAACAATGGCAACCATGACAAACCCCCATCAACTGAGGGTCAGTCCAGTGCTGGGTCAAATCTGAGTCCAGATGCCACAATGCCACCATCTTCTGAATCTTCTGAAGCCTATTCAACATTGCCAACAACAATTGCAATGGTTCCAACAAGAGACATGCTCTCACCAGAGTCATGTGCTGGTATGCAGATGTTTGCTGCAACACTTTCATCATCAGTAGCTTGCAGCAACATGAATGCAGGCAGTGACAGTGGAAGCGCAGATTCCTTGGTTTTGTCATCCAAAATGATATCTTCGTACCCAACTGTGATTGCTGCAACATCTGCTCCTACCCCTGAACCTACCTTTGAACCAACTACAAATACCCAAACAAATTTCTTGGCGTTATCATCCAAAATTGGATCTTCATACCCAACAGCAATCCCTGCAACCTATCAACCTACGCCTGAACCTACCTTTGAACCAACCAATAGCCCAACCTTGACACCAACAGAACAGCCAACAGCCAACCCTACCAGTAACCCTACCAGTACCAATGAAGTCACAACATCACCTACTGGAAACCCAACCACCATCCCAACAATGGAACCTACAAGCCTCCAAACAATTAATCAAGTGCAGGAAGACTACTTTGTTACATTCAGTGGGCCAACCACTGGTTGGACAGGCCAAGAAATGATGGATGCGTTTGTGGAGGCATACAACTCTCTGCCTGACTCTGATTCCACGATTGATGTGATACAGGCTGGTCAACCTGTTGGTACTCCTGGTGGCTTCTACCTGGAGTTCACCGTGACCTCCAGTCCTGGGGCCTTGGACGAGGACCTCACAGCCTTTGAGGTTCAGTTTATTCAGAACTACAATTCAGAGATCCAAGACATAGAGGCTGTTGCGTTGTCTTTGAGTATGGAGTCCCCAAGCAGCAGCCCATCAGTGCAGGAGGACTACTTTGTAACTTTCAGTGGGCCAACCACCGGTTGGACAGGCCAAGAAATGATGGATGTGTTTGTGGAGGCATACAACTCTCTGCCTGACTCTGATTCCACGATTGATGTGATTGAGGCTGGTCAACCTGTTGGTACTCCTGGTGGCTTCTACCTGGAGTTCACCGTGACCTCCAGTCCTGGGGCCTTGGACGAGGTCCTTATTGCCTCTGAGGCCTTGTTTCTCCAGGAGTACAATGAGGAGATGCAATCCACGGAGACTGTTGCCTTGTCTTTGAGCATGGCGCCCCCAAGCAGGAGCCCATCAGTGCAGGAAGACTATTTTGTTTCCTTCAGTGGGCCATCCACTGGGTTGACTGAGCAAATGATGTCCTATGGCTTTGTGGAAGCGTATAACTCCCTTCCAGGCTCTGGTTCATCAATTGAAAGCATTGAGGTTGGAGAACCTGTTCCCACTTCTGGTGGAAGTTTCTATGTGGAGTTCATTGTGACCTCCAGTCCAGATGCCTTGGATGAAGAACTTACCACCTTTGTAGGAGACTTTTTGGAGTGGTTCAATGTGGAGATCAATACTGGGGCTATTGCTGAGTCCATATCCTTCTCTTCATCCTTGGACCCTCAGATTCGTTACTCACCATCCGCTGTCCCCAGTGTGCATCCTAGCAGTTTTCCCAGTGCCAGTCCCAGCAACAGCCAGGCTCCATCCAAAGGCCCTAGTTCCCAACCAAGTTTGTTACCCAGTTCCAGTCCCAGCGAGGCTCCTTCATCAAACCCATCATCCTTGCCATCAATTTTTCCAAGTACTGGTCCATCCACAAAGCCTTCATTATCTTCTGCACCCTCATCAAACCCTTCATTATTGCCATCTGAAAATCCAAGCTCTGGTCCATCCTTCATGCCCTCTAATTCTGCCACACCATCAACATATCCCAGTAGTGGTCCATCCATTGTACCATCTGGTGCTCCATCATCAAGTCTATCACTATCATTTCGACCCTCTTTTCGTCCATCAGATGCTCCATCTTCAAATCCTAGTCTTGGTCCATCCAATGCGCCCTCCAAAAACCCAAGCTCCAGTCCTTCAGGTTTACCATCCTCAAAGCCTAGTGTCAATCCCTCTTATGTGCCTTCCACAAGCCCAAGCAACTATCCATCACTTGAACCATCCACAATCCCAACCGGAAATCCATCATTGGAACCTTCTACTTTCCCAAGCATCAGTCCTTCTGGTGTCCCATCCTCAAGCCCTAGCATTGCTCCATCCAATTTCCCCTCCGCCAGCCCAAGTTTAAGTCCAACATCTGTGCCATCCATAATGCCATCGTCTATGCCAACAACCTCTCCATCTGAATTACCTACAAAGCCCCCCACTCATCCACCAACACCACAGCCTACCAAGCCACCAACCCCACAGCCAACCAATCAACCAACACCACTGCCTACAAATTCACCAACACCACTGCCTACAAATCCACCAACTGATGCACCTACCGAAGCCCCAACTACACCACCAACTAGAGCCCCCACTCAAGATCCAAGTGACACTCCAACAGAAGTCCCGTCACAGCCACCCACCACAGCTCCCACAAATCTACCGTCACCTGTGCCTTCTGCTATGCCAACTACTGGTAAGTTATATATACAACTCTGATCCAAATTAAGGTGTTGCGTGAGCTCACAGGTTGTCTTCTTTGGTCTCTTGCAATGGAAGTATTTGGTGACAAGACTTCCTTGATTGCAGCTCTAGAGCAAGGTGACTACTCATCCTCAGGTCCCTACGGTAGGGTATTTTGTCGTGCAATGTTACACTTCATTTTAGCCTTTGCCTACTCAACACATTTGCTTTTTGTGAATCATCACAAAAAAGGTTCAATTCTGTCATGGAATGTACAGGCAGTTGCTGACTTTGGTATGTGAACCAAGAATGTCCCTTATTGTGTGTACGAATCATGTTTGAACTGAATCTCACCTCACATTGTGACTCATGCTGCCTGGGGACTACCTATATATGCCTACAGATAGCTTGATCAATGGTCTCACGCATGTGGCAACATTTAATGGTGATGTCAGTAACTGGGGTAAGTCAAATATCTTGGATATCAGTTCTTTGTATGAAAGTTTGCTCTGAAACTGCAAGTTTACTTCACTTCCATTGACATCAATTAATAGATACCAGCGGTGTGACAACATTGGGAGCAACTTTCTATGGTGCAGCAGCCTTCAATGTTGATCTAAGTTCCTGGGGTAAGTCACTTATTGCTCTTTCTTTTGAATTCTTTCTACATTTTCCTCACTCAACCAATGTATTCTGACAATGATAGATACCAGCAAGGTGTTAGACCTAACTAACACCTTGAGGGGTGCCACTGTCTTCAATGGAGATGTCAGTACCTGGGGTAAGTGAAACATCTTGGATATCTCTGTCGGGATTTTTCTAACTCTTTCCAACCTATTCTGACGATGATAGATACCAGCAGTGTGACCACACTAGAACGCACGTTCAATGGTGCCAAGGCCTTCAATATTAATCTCAGTTCCTGGGGTAGGTCAAATCTTGGATGGATTGTCTTTCCTTTTTGGTTTCTGTCTGGATTTTCTAATTCTTGTCAACCTATTCTGCCAATGATAGATACCAGCAAGGTGACATCACTGCATTCGTTTGTCAGGGGTGCCATTGCCTTCAACCAAGATCTCAATACCTGGGGTAAGTCAAACATCTTGGATATCAATTCTTTTGGATTCTGCCTGGAGTTTTTAACTCTTTCCAACCTATTATCACAATGATAGATACCAGCAAGGTGAAAGAGCTTTATGGCGCCTTCGGTGAGTGCAGTTTGTTCAATGGTGATATTAGTACTCAAACATCTTGGATATGAATCCTTGAATGAAAGTTGGCTCTAAAACTGCATGTTTACTCCACCTTCTGTTGGCAACAAAAGATACCAGCAGTGTGACAAGATTGGGAGCCACTTTCAAGAATACCGCTGCCTTCAATGGAGATCTCAGTTCCTGGGGTAGGTCAAATCTTGGATGGATTGCCTTTCCTTTTGTATTCTGTCAAGATTTTTCTAAATCTTTCCAACCTATTCTGACAATGATAGATACCGGCGAAGTTACAAACATGTGGCAAGCCTTCTGGACTGCCACTGGCTTCAATGGAGATATCAGTACCTGGGGTAGGTCAAATCTTGGAAATCGTTTCTTTTGGATTCTCTCTGGATGTTTCTAACTCTTTTCAACCCAATCTGACAATGGTAGATACCAGCAAGCTTTTAGACATGTATCAGACCTTCGAATATGCCACCTCCTTCAACGTTGATATCAGTTCTTGGGGTACGTCAAGCATCTTGGATATCATTTCTTTTGGATTCTGCTTGATTTTTTCTAACTTTTACAACCTATTCTGACAATGATAGATGTGGGATCTGTGACTCAAATGAGTCAAGTGCTGGAGTTTGCATCAGCTTTTAACCGTGATTTGTGTGCTTGGGGTACCAAGATCACAGGCACTCCACTTGTTGGTTCCATGTTTGCTGGTACTTCTTGTCCTGAAGCAGCATCAACTAGGGTCGACTTGGGGGCATCACCAAAGGGCCCCTTCTGTCACGTTTGTCTACCATAGGTTGTGGTGCAATAGGACAATTAACTTCAATCCAAAAAGGCCAGCATGGCAAGCCCGCCGAGAACGGTCTCCAATCACCGAACCCAGCCGACAGGGCTTCGTTGGCACCAGATGCTAGGAAGGTTTGCGAGTTTTTTAGCGTCGGTGTACGTTGTACTGTTGGCATCTGGACGATCCGCCCTTGAGGGCACGGAGCGCGTGGTGTACCTACGAAAGTCGATTATGTGATGTTGTTTTCGAGGAGGAAGGGGTCAATTCGGGTTGTGCTCGGTGTCGATAGTTGGGGTGCCTGTCATCGTAGAGCGCGTTGACCCCCGCAGAATCAAAGGATTGCAACGAAACGATGGACAGAAGAAAGCCGGCAGCTATTGCCAACCATGTAAAAGACCGGATAAACGAAAGAAAGCCGAAGGAGCATGATTGTATGCATGAGGAATCAGGCGTGAGAACCGCAACTGCATGCAGGTACCTTACGGGTCAGCTCGCACACCCACACTTGAAGTTTGACCTGTTGTGTTGGTGCGATTATGCGTTTCCTCTCTTAGATGCGTTGGTAACTTTGGATTGTGAGCGTAAAACGATGCAAGAGGGCACTGTTTCTCGTCTCTCTACGCAGCCAAAAATAAAGGGGAGAACTACTTTCTAATTTAGTTAAGATTGAGAGCACCATTTTCTGTGTGCTCGGATTTATCGAAGACGTGTTCCAAGGGTAGGCATTTGCTGATGTACCTTGACGCAGCTTTCATCAAGATACCAGACTACTCTGAGTAGGAGTTAACTACTGAGTTGTAAACGTTGAGATGAATTAGACCCTTATTAGACCCCTGTATCCGAATGTTTCTCAAGCAAGGAAAGAGAATCCAATCCGAACGCTCACATTTTGGGACGAGATCGAAGTCAAAAAGCAATTCAACCTAAAGTTACCAATGATCACAAAGGGAGATTATGTTCTTGTCTGTGTCGCTCCAGGATGGTGCGCGCAATAAGCAGAAGACATTCACCCCTACCGGGGTAGAGGTGTGCTACGGGTAGTCTGATCACACGGTTTTTTTGTGGTTGTTTTTGTGGTGGTGATAGATTCCTGACGTGGGCCGCGATGCATGACCAGCAGTGATGTCGGTTTGTCCATCACCGTTGTGGAGTCTTGTACATGCGGAAAGCGGGATCTTGCTTGTGACGGTGGTGTCCTACGGCCTTTTGGAAAAAAGACACCAACGTCGTGAAGATCTACCCCTGAACGGAGGGACTAGCACTCTGGCCTCGGAACCTTTGGATCCCCACCTTGATCCACGCACACGACCCGATACCTTTTGCATAACTTTTTGATTGTGGGAGCCAGAGGATGCAAGAAAGCGAGAGCAAACTAAGACACGGCCCTGTCGGCTTGGATCCCTACCGTGATCCGCGACTCCTCCGCGACCTCATACGGTACCTCTGGCGGCGACCCCCCGGTCGCGTGGCTTCGGTGCATACCGATACTACGATTTGGCACTTGCGTCGATTTGGCAATGCCTACGGAGAAACTTACTACGCTGCCGGAGCTGTCGATCCCTTTTCCTTTCCCCTCCTAACCCCTCCAAACTTCTTTACCAACCCCATTAACTTAGGAATTACGAAGTCCCCGGAGGGATTAAGTTCCATAATTAGATTTGAAAACAGTATGTGATGGCCTCTTGCTCGGGCCATCCTGTAACCGTTTGGGGGTATAAAGAGGTATTGTGTAAGCATGAATTGTCTTGACATGTAGATTGTTTGTGGGTATACTGGGGACGATATTGTCCCCGTTGTTTTTTGTTGTTTCTGTTGTTGTGTCGTCATGGGGCCGGTGGGCCACGGATTATCCAGCGTTCCATCAGGTTGTGTTCGTAACTCTGATCGTTCTTTACCAACCCCAACTCTCTTCAACAAAGAGCTCATGATTTGTGGTGAATCATGGCTCTGACCTCAGTGAACAAACCCTCAGATAGATAATAGGTGTCGTACCCTCTCAGGAGGCCAGTGTGGCAGGTGAGCAGACTTAACTGTGGGAAATACCGGGGCCTCGGCTCGTGGGAAGCATGCACATCTTGTCTGAATCCGTTAAATAAATACTAAATAGATACATTAAGGAGCGAGGGGGACGAGGCTAGGCAAAGCAGTGACTGCGGTGGTGGGTGGCTGGTGTGGTGGGCATACGGGGAGAGCAATGAGGACGCGAGCAGGGCAAAACAAGGGGGTCAGGGAAGGGGGGTGCATGGAGGAAAACCAGGAAGGACAAGGGAGCAAAATTAGCGGAAGAGTGCAAGTGCACCATTGTCTGAATCCGTTATGAATAGATGTTCAGTTTTTTTCGTGCCGGAGCTGTCGCAGGAGCCGTTTTACGTCGGCAGTCTTGCTGCCAGAGCCCTGAACCCCTTTAATTGTTTTTCCTGCTACGGTGGTCCCTGCAGGTATAAGGGTAGGGTTAGAATACAAATAAGTCAGCAAAAACTAAATAAGTATCCTAGCTAGGATGCTGCAAACCAGCTAAAGCTATTTACATCCATCCCAGTAGGGGAATCTGCTCCCACCAGGAACAACTCTAAAGCCAGTGAAAGCTATATAACTAGTATTCTAGCTAGCTAGGGGTGACTGCTTCTAGCTTGCTATGGGAATCTGCTTCTAACTAGGGGGAATTTGCTTCTAGCTAGCTAAGCACAAGTTAAGCACTAGCTAATCACTAAAGGTATCTGCTTCTAGTTAGCTAGCTATAGGGGTATCTGCTTCTACACTGAAACCTTTCTGCCGAGGTTACACAGCTCCGCTGGCTTAATTGCCGCGGCGCTGGGTTTGCTTGCTTTACCGAGCCAGTTTCGTTGACTCCCTTGCTGCCAAAAATTCGTTCTAGCCCCGTTGTCGGGCGCTGCTATTTGCTGATTCCCTTTTCCAAACGGTCCTCTTTTGCATCCTCAACTCTTTGAATCACGGCAAGGCCAGCTAGCATACCGGTACTATAGTACATACCGGTATAAAAACGACTTCTTTTCCGAACAAGGCTGCATCATTCGAACTTGAAGGCGGCTGGTATAGTTGCTGGCTTCTGTGCTCTATGCATTAATCGCGGGTCTCTTGGTCACATTCCAGCCCTCACCACAGTAACAGGGACCGTTTCAATTGGCCATCTAACAATCCTACTACAAGTCCAACACAAAGCACATTGCCATGCTTTCTAAAAGGAAAAACAATACAACCACAACGCACATACAACAGCCGTCCTTCAGGCGGCAAGGGTTAGTTTTGCACGACCGAAGCTTTCCGTGCTCTGTTCCGAAAGCAGGCCCATCAACGTAAAACCTTTGATTGCACATTTGAAGGGATTTACATGGTCGAGTCATTGAAATTCATTCGAGCGCGACTTGCGGAGCCACTGATTAGCTATTTGAGCAACTGACTCACACTTAGTCTTCTAACTAAAGTCTGTTACCCGAGATCCATGGAGAGCTGAACGAAGAGGGTTCCAAGGGCTTGTAACCACCACGGCTGAACTTTCCATACATGAACTGATCATCCTGTTGTCCCTTTGGATTTTTGGAAGCTTGTGTGGGAAGATTCATTCAGTGCTCGACATAAGCTGGCTGGCCACACAGTGGCAAAATCCCACGAACCCAAGCCACTTTCCAGCACCATGACTGTAACTTGTACACCGTACACCTTATTCAAAGTATAGGACTACGAAACAGCAAGCTGTACCAGTAGAAGAAAGTGAAGAAAATGAGAGCTAGCTATCTACATGTGGTAATACAAGACATGAAAAAGACATCCTTAATTCTACCAGGAGCGTTCCTCAATCGTGCATGACTCTTAAATCCGACCCTAATTTAGGGTGGGTTTGGGGGAATCCGTCCCTAAATATGGGGACAGTTTCAAAACCCGACCCTAAAACGAAACCCGACCCTAAATTAGGGACGGTTTTTCAGAAACCGACCCTATTTTAGGGTTAGTTTTCAAACCCGACCCTAATAGTAGTGCGTTTTCAATGTATTTACCATTCAGTCCCATTTGCATTTAGGGACGCTTTTCAAACCCGACCCTAAATCTAAACCCGTCCCTAAATTAGGGACAGTTTTTCAAAAACCGACCCTATTTTGAGGGTCGGTTTCGAAACCCGACCCTAAGGGGAATTCTGTTGATCCAGGCAGGAGCCCAGTAAGTCTTGAAGAGGAGTTCGAGTTTTGCCATGGTGTGGTCAGTTTCATCTTTGTTTTCCCATTCGTGGAGGGCTTCGGTGAAGACGCCGCTGTTGGTAAGATTGGTTGTGGCGGCACGGATGGCTGTCTTGTTGGTGATGGGATCGTGATCGGCAGCATAGGCAGGGTTGGACTGCTTTGATTTGATTGAAAAGGTCTTCAATTGGTTGGGTTGGACTCCAGGCAGCTCCCATTCGCTTGAAGTTTTCTTTGAGGTCCTCTTGATCTACCTTGCCATATTGGGTGTCGAGGTGATCAAGGGTTTCGCGGACGGTGACATTAGCGTAGCCAAAGAGATCGTTCTTGAGGGTGAGCGTGAAGGTGGCTGGCACTGCTTCCAGGAGTTGCTTTTTGAGGGCTGTGCCGGTTGCCTTGCAGATGTGGAAACGTTCGAGGGATTCCTTAAAGAGGTGGTTGTGCAATACACGGCTCTTAGCCTTATTCGCGACTCGATCCTAGATAGGGTTCATCTAAGAAGCGCATAATGGGGTAGCGCGAAAACAGCGAGGTCGGTTACAAAATTGCCAGGTCAGTCGATGGTAAGGTTACCAATCGGTAACTGACCTCGCGCTTATGTATGGTGGGTACAAGAACACCGAGGATGATCCTTCCCATTTTGTGAGGTCAGCTGTGCAATATTCAAGAACCTCTTATCCTACTATTGAAGACGATCGACTCAGGCATATACAGATGCAATTGCAGCACAAGTCATTGGCGTAACGGTTACAGAATGTTGAACTAAGTGTTCACTATTTCTCTACCGAATTCCGTTCCCTTTCTATACATGGCTTACAA